GATCAGTCAGTCTGTACATTATAAGATATTTCCTTCTTCAGATAATCTGCTGATGTGTCTTCTCTCACAGTAATCAGTAGCTTTCTAATTTATTAATTCAGGAAATTTGATGTTGTACTGGGCTGTGGTGTGTGATGGTGAGATGGTGGACTGGGCTGTGGTGTGTGATGGTGAGAGGGTGGACTGGGCTGTGGTGTGTGATGGTGAGATGGTGTACTGGGCTGTGGTGTGTGATGGTGAGATGGTGTACTGGGCTGTGGTGTGTGATGGTGAGATGGTGTACTGGGCTGTGGTGTGTGATGGTGAGATGGTGGACTGGGCTGTGGTGTGTGATGGTGAGATGGTGTACTGGGCTGTGGTGTGTGATGGTGAGATGGTGGACTGGGCTGTGGTGTGTGATGGTGAGATGGTGGACTGGGCTGTGGTGTGTTGGTGAGAGGGTGTACTGGGCTGTGGTGTGTGATGGTGAGATGGTGGACTGGGCTGTGGTGTGTTGGTGAGAGGGTGTACTGGGCTGTGGTGTGTGATGGTGAAATGGTGGACTGGGCTGTGGTGTGTTGGTGAGAGGGTGTACTGGGCTGTGGTGTGTGATGGTGAGATGGTGGACTGGGCTGTGGTGTGTTGGTGAGAGGGTGTACTGGGCTGTGGTGTGTGATGGTGAGATGGTGTACTGGGCTGTGGTGTGTGATGGTGAGATGGTGTACTGGGCTGTGGTATGTGATGGTGAGAGGGTGTACTGGGCTATGGTGTGTGATGGTGAGATGGTGTACTGGGCTGTGGTGTGTGATGGTGAGATGGTGTACTGGGCTGTGGTGTGTGATGGTGAGATGGTGTACTGGGCTGTGGTATGTGATGGTGAGAGGGTGTACTGGGCTGTGGTATGTGATGGTGAGAGGGTGTACTGGGCTGTGGTGTGTGATGGTGAGATGGTGTACTGGGCTGTGGTGTGTGATGGTGAGATGGTGGACTGGGCTGTGGTATGTGATGGTGAGATGGTGTACTGGGCTGTGGTGTGTGATGGTGAGATGGTGTACTGGGCTGTGGTGTGTGATGGTGAGATGGTGGACTGGGCTGTGGTATGTGATGGTGAGAGGGTGTACTGGGCTGTGGTGTGTGATGGTGAGATGGTGTACTGCGCTGTGGTGTGTGTTGGTGAGATGGTGTACTGGGCTGTGGTGTGTGTCAGTGAGATGGTGTACTGGGCTGTGGTGTGTGATGGTGAGATGGTGTACTGGGCTGTGATGTGTGATGGTGAGATGGTGTACTGGGCTGTGCTGTGTGATGGTGAGATGGTGTACTGGGCTGTGGTGTGTGATGGTGAGAGAGTGTACTGGGCTGTGGCGTGTGTCGGTGAGATGGTGTACTGGGCTGTGGTGTGTGATGGTGAGATGGTGTACTGGGCTGTGGTGTGTGATGGTGAGATGGTGTACTGGGCTGTGATGTGTGATGGTGAGATGGTGTACTGGGCTGTGCTGTGTGATGGTGAGATGGTGTACTGGGCTGTGGTGTGTGATGGTGAGATGGTATACTGGGCTGTGGTATGTGTTGGTGAGATGGTGTACTGGGCTGTGGTGTGTGATGGTGAGATGGTGTACTGGGCTGTGGTGTGTGATGGTGAGATGGTGTACTGGGCTGTGGTGTGTGTTGGTGAGATGGTGAACTGGGTTGTGGTGTGTGTTGGTGAGAGGGTGTACTGGGCTGTGGTGTGTGATGGTGAGAGGGTGTACTGGGCTGTGGTGTGTGTTGGTGAGATGGTGAACTGGGTTGTGGTGTGTGTTGGTGAGAGGGTGTACTGGGCTGTGGTGTGTGATGGTGAGAGGGTGTACTGGGCTGTGGTGTGTGATGGTGAGAGGGTGTACTGGGCTGTGGTGTGTGATGGTGAGAGGGTGTACTGGGCTTTGGTGTGTGTTGGTGAGATGGTGCAGTTGCTGAGATACTCTGTGTGCTCGTCTGACTCTGGATGTTCCTGAGATCAGTGAGAATGGAATTTTAAAGCTTGTTTTAGCATAACTTGCTTAATATAACAGATTAATAAATTAATACAATTTTAAATGATTATTAAACCATTGCTGAAGTTCACCTTATTGCAATTAAATTAAAGAATATCTGTCTCTCTCTCTTTGTTCTCTCTCTCTCTGTTCTCTCTCTCTCTCTCTCTCTCTCTCTCTGTCTCTCTCTCTCTCCCTGTGTTCAGTGCTGATGGTGATTATTCTCTCCGGGGTTTTGTTCATACTGTCTCAGTCTGATTACAGTCTGATTTGTACTTATTAAACTGTTTTACTGTCTGTGTGAGTTTAATGAGCTCCAGTTCCTCCACCACTCCTGCTCTTCTCTGACTGTGTTACAGAGGCTCTCTGCTCCTGAGCACCACCTGCTGACTGAACTGCTGGGAAGGAAATGCAGGATTATTCCCCCTCTGGCTGCTTGGTGGCGCTGTGATACACACTGCCCCTCTAACGCTTGGAAACTTCTTTTTCACTTTTAATGAGGTGAGAGACGTTTATCATTAATCTTGTCTGAGCTGATGGTTTTTCTTCAGCCTTCAGCTTCATCTTCATCACAGTTCCTCTCTATGAAGAGCAGGTTTCCCCTAAATAATGATTTGGAATGACGTCCCTGCTGAAAAAACCCACAGACACCATTAAGTGTGTCTGTTTGTTCCTGATGGTTCTGTAGTGTGTTTTGTCTTTTTTAATGTGTTGATATCACAGTGTAAAGGATCCTAATGGTTTAACAGATGACCAGTGGCTGATTCTAAATGCATCTGATGGTTTCCTAATGGTATCTAAAAGTAAATCCATTATGTTTTAATCCAAATGAATTGTAATGGTCCTCTTTCAGCAGTTGTTACTTCATCATAACAATAAGAAATATTAGATGTATTGGCTAAATTTACAGTGCTGTGAAAAAGTATTTGCCCCTCATCCAATTTCTTCTATTTTTGCTAATTTGTCACATTTAAATGTTTCAGGTCATCCGACTAATTTTAATATAAGGTAAAGGCAACACAAGTAAACACAAAATGCAGCTTGTAAATGATCATTTCATCTACTGAAGATAAATATTTATTCAAAATCTGTATCACCCATGTGAAAAAGTAATGGCCCCATAAACCTAACATCTGGTTGTGCCACCCTCAATAGTAACAACTGCAATCAAACGCTTGCGATTACTTGCGCTGAGTCTTTCATATCACTGTATTTCTTCTTTACAGAATTGTTTTAATTTGGCCACATTGGAGGGTTTTCAAGAATGAACTGCCCGTTTAATGTCCTGCCACAGCCTAATGGGATTCAAATCAGGATGTTGACCCAGCCACTGCAAAACCTTCATTTAGCTTCTTTTGAGCCATTAAGATATGGACTTGATTGTGTGCTTCAGATTATTGTCCTGCTGCATAACCCATAATAATCCTGCAGAAGCAAAGCAGCCCCAGTATGTGATGTTCTTATGGTGGAACACGGTGTTAGCTTTACGCCAGATGTAACGGGACCCGTATCCTTCAAAAAGTTCCACATTTAATTTATCAGAATATTCTCCCAAAAGTCTTGGGGGTCATCTAGATTTATTTTGGCACATGCGAGATGAGACTTTGTGTTCTTTTTGGTCAGCAGTTTGTACCTTGCCACTTTCTTGTGGAATCATGTACATTGACCTTAAATGGGACAACTGAGGCCTGCAGTTCTTTAGATATTTGTCTGGATTCTTTTGTTCCTCCTGGATGAATCGTTGATGCACTCTTGGTGAAATTTTGGTAGGTCAGATACTCCTGGGAAGGTTCACCACTGTTCCAAGTTTCCTCCATTTGTAGATAATGACTCTCACTGTGGTTCTCTGGAGTCTCAGAGCCTCAGCAATGGCTTTATAACCCTTTCCAGACGGTAGATTTCAGTGACTTTGTTGTGTATTTGAATCTCATTAAAACGTGGCATCATGTGCTGCTTTTTGAGAGGTTCTAGCTGCTTCACGCTGCCAGACAGGTTCTATTTAAGTGATGTTCAGATTCAGCAGGTCTGTCAGTAATCATGTCTGGGTGTGGCAATGAAACTGAACCCGATAGTCAATTGATTTTTGTTAACTGGTTGATTTAGTAGCTAAGGGGTCAATTAACAAATTTTTTCCTTCAGGAAATGAAATTATGACTTAAAAACAGCATTTTATGGGTTATCATTTTCTAATATTAAAAGTAGTTTGATTATCTGAAAAATGTAAGTGTTAAAAATATGCAAAAATTTAAGAAATTGTATAGAAGAAATACATTTTCACAGCAATGTAAAATGATCTCCCTTTAAAAGACAGATATTTCAGCGTAATTACAGACAAACTAAGACACTTTAACCCAGGGTCCGCCGGTGGGCCCAAAGTTTTAATTAAGTTACCTTACATTAATTGACCTTTATTAATCTCACAACAGGGAAATTCACCTCGGCATTTAACCCATCTATGAAACACTACATGCACACTAGTGAACACACACACTAGGGGGCAGTGAGCACGCTTGCCTGGAGCGGTGGGCAGCCCTATCCACAGCGCCCGGGGAGCAGATGGGGGTTAGGCACTCAAAGGCACTTCAGTCACGTACTGTCGGCTCAGGGGATCAAATCAGCGACCTTCCAGTCACAAGACTGATTCCCTGACCTCCAGCCCACGACTGCCCCTTATTACACACTTCTTTATTCTGAAAAACAGCTCAGCCAGATTTAACTGAAGTCCCTGTAATTACTAATAATAAGCCTTGGTGTGTAATAAGAGATTTTAAGGGGTTAAAGATCTGAACTCTGTTAGGAAAACCTGTAACATAAAGATGCAACCAGAAAACCTGCAAACACTTTATAATTAAACAGCTTTTACAAACCACAGCAGAAACCAACTCAGATTCATCAGTGAGAGAACTTCACTCTGAGATGGAGAAGAAGGAGGAAATCAGTTCTTTTTCATTTGAAGGTGATGAAATTGACTCTCTGTTGTTTTGTTGTCATTCATATATTTGGCACCGCAGGTTTAAACACTGTATCTGGAAACACTTTAAAGAAGTTACTTTCATTAATACTTCAGAACTGCACACAATAACACTGAGATAAAAGTGTTTGTGAAGGATTTGTGTTTAAATGGTTTGGTCCAGTTCAGGCTGTTCGGGTTTGTGTTTTTTGGGTTTGGGTTGTTCTGGTTGTTCAGGTATGGGCAGTTTGGGTTGTTCAGGTTAGGGTTGTTCTGGTTGTTCAGGTTCGGGTAAATTGGGTTGTTCAGGTTCGGGATTTTCAGGCTGTTCTGTTGGTTCTGGATGATCCACCACGCTGCCCATGGGAGGTTTGTTGTGGTAAAAGGTGAAATAGATCCTCCTCCAGCCCATCTGCTCCGCCAGAGCCTCCAAATTTTCAGAGATCTCCTCACTGCAGCTCCGTATGGCTGATTCCCACACAGCCTTACAGTCGCACAGCTGCACAGACACAGACTTCACACTGTAACACCTCAAACAGCAGCAATGTTTACATTAAAACTCTAATTAAAGGGGCAGATCATGGAAGCACACACTTTCCTTTTTAAAACAAGTCTGATGTGTTCTGTGTGTTGATGTAACTCTGCTTATATATGAAAGTTCTCTGGGCAGTTTTTGTCCACAGTTACAGAAGAGCGCTTTGCAAACTCCACATAGGAAAAGGGTCAGTTTTCTATCTCACACAGTCTGTATGATCTGCATCATTGAGCCAAAATCACTCACATCTTCTGAATAACATGATTTGGATTCTGAGGAGTTCTCATACTGCACGTTGTTCTGTGCTGGAACAGCAGTTCTAGATCCTCGTTTAGCCCCACCCATTCAGTCTACAGCAGTTTAGCTCCACCATTCAGCTACAGCAGTTTAGCTCCACCTTTCAGTCTACAGCAGTTTAGCTCCACCATTCAGTCTACAGCAGTTTACCTCCACCATTCAGTCTACAGCAGTTTAGCCCCACCATTCAGTCTACAGCAGTTTACCTCCACCATTCAGTCTACAGCAGTTTAGCTCCACCATTCAGCTACAGCAGTTTGGCCCCACCATTCAGTCTACAGGAGTTTAGCTCCACCATTCAGTCTACAGCAGTTTAGCTCCACCATTCAGTCTACAGCAGTTTAGCTCCACCATTCAGCTACAGCAGTTTGGCCTACCCATTCAGCTACAGCAGTTTAGCTCCACCATTCAGTCTATAGCAGTTTAGCCCCACCATTCAGTCTACAGCAGTTTAGCTCCACCATTCAGTCTACAGCAGTTTAGCTCCACCATTCAGCTACAGCAGTTTAGCTCCACCACTCAGCTACAGCAGTTTGGCCCACCCATTCAGCTACAGCAGTTTAGCTCCACCATTCAGTCTACAGCAGTTTAGCCCCACCATTCAGTCTACAGCAGTTTAGCCCCACCATTCAGTCTACAGCAGTTTAGCTCCACCATTCAGTCTACAGCAGTTTAGCTCCACCATTCAGTCTACAGCAGTTTAGCCCCACCATTCAGCTACAGCAGTTTAGCTCCACCATTCAGTCTACAGCAGTTTAGCTCCACCATTCAGTCTACAGCAGTTTAGCTCCACCATTCAGTCTACAGCAGTTTGGCCTACCCATTCAGCTACAGCAGTTTAGCTCCACCATTCAGTCTACAGCAGTTTAGCCCCGCCATTCAGCTATAGCAGTTTAGCTCCACCATTCAGTCTACAGCAGTTTAGCTCCACCATTCAGCTACAGCAGTTTAGCCCCAACCATTCAGTCTACAGCAGTTTAGCCCCACCATTCAGTCTACAGCAGTTTAGCCCCACCATTCAGCTACAGCAGTTTAGCTCCACCATTCAGCTACAGCAGTTTGGCCCCACCATTCAGTCTACAGCAGTTTAGCTCCACCATTCAGCTACAGCAGTTTGGCCCCACCATTCAGTCTACAGCAGTTTACCTCCACCATTCAGTCTACAGCAGTTTAGCTCCACCATTCAGTCTACAGCAGTTTAGCTCCACCATTCAGTCTACAGCAGTTTACCTCCACCATTCAGTCTACAGCAGTTTAGCCCCACCCATTCAGTCTACAGCAGTTTAGCTCCACCATTCAGCTACAGCAGTTTAGCTCCACCTTTCAGTCTACAGCAGTTTAGCCCCACCATTCAGTCTACAGCAGTTTAGCTCCACCATTCAGCTACAGCAGTTTAGCTCCACCATTCAGCTACAGCAGTTTGGCCCCACCATTCAGTCTACAGGAGTTTAGCTCCACCATTCAGTCTACAGCAGTTTAGCTCCACCATTCAGTCGACAGCAGTTTAGCTCCACCATTCAGCTACAGCAGTTTGGCCTACCCATTCAGTCTACAGCAGTTTAGCTCCACCATTCAGTCTACAGCAGTTTAGCCCCACCATTCAGTCTACAGCAGTTTAGCTCCACCATTCAGTCTACAGCAGTTTAGCTCCACCATTCAGCTACAGCAGTTTAGCTCCACCACTCAGCTACAGCAGTTTGGCCCACCCATTCAGCCTACAGCAGTTTAGCTCCACCATTCAGTCTACAGCAGTTTAGCCCCACCATTCAATCTACAGCAGTTTAGCCCCACCATTCAGTCTACAGCAGTTTAGCTCCACCATTCAGTCTACAGCAGTTTAGCTCCACCATTCAGCTACAGCAGTTTGGCCCACCCATTTAGCTACAGCAGTTTAGCTCCACCATTCAGTCTACAGCAGTTTAGCTCCATCATTCAGTCTACAGCAGTTTAGCCCCGCCATTCAGCTACAGCAGTTTAGCTCCACCATTCAGTCTACAGCAGTTTAGCTCCACCATTCAGTCTACAGCAGTTTAGCTCCACCATTCAGTCTACAGCAGTTTAGCTCCACCATTCAGCTACAGCAGTTTAGCTCCACCTTTCAGTCTACAGCAGTTTAGCCCCACCATTCAGTCTACAGCAGTTTAGCCCCACCATTCAGTCTACAGCAGTTTACCTCCACCATTCAGCTACAGCAGTTTGGCCCCGCCATTCAGCTACAGCAGTTTAGCTCCACCATTCAGTCTACAGCAGTTTAGCTCCACCATTCAGTCTACAGCAGTTTAGCTCCACCATTCAGTCTACAGCAGTTTAGCTCCACCATTCAGCTACAGCAGTTTAGCTCCACCATTCAGTCTACAGCAGTTTAGCCCCACCATTCAGTCTACAGCAGTTTACCTCCACCATTCAGTCTACAGCAGTTTAGCTCCACCATTCAGCTACAGCAGTTTGGCCCCACCATTCAGTCTACAGGAGTTTAGCTCCACCATTCAGTCTACAGCAGTTTAGCTCCACCATTCAGTCTACAGCAGTTTAGCTCCACCATTCAGCTACAGCAGTTTGGCCTACCCATTCAGCTACAGCAGTTTAGCTCCACCATTCAGTCTACAGCAGTTTAGCCCCACCACTCAGTCTACAGCAGTTTAGCTCCACCATTCAGTCTACAGCAGTTTAGCTCCACCATTCAGCTACAGCAGTTTAGCTCCACCACTCAGCTACAGCAGTTTGGCCCACCCATTCAGCTACAGCAGTTTAGCTCCACCATTCAGTCTACAGCAGTTTAGCCCCACCATTCAGTCTACAGCAGTTTAGCCCCACCATTCAGTCTACAGCAGTTTAGCTCCACCATTCAGTCTACAGCAGTTTAGCTCCACCATTCAGCTACAGCAGTTTGGCCCACCCATTTAGCTACAGCAGTTTAGCTCCACCATTCAGTCTACAGCAGTTTAGCCCCGCCATTCAGTCTACAGCAGTTTAGCCCCGCCATTCAGCTACAGCAGTTTAGCTCCACCATTCAGTCTACAGCAGTTTAGCTCCACCATTCAGTCTACAGCAGTTTAGCTCCACCATTCAGTCTACAGCAGTTTGGCCTACCCATTCAGCTACAGCAGTTTAGCTCCACCATTCAGTCTACAGCAGTTTAGCCCCACCATTCAGCTATAGCAGTTTAGCTCCACCATTCAGTCTACAGCAGTTTAGCTCCACCATTCAGCTACAGCAGTTTAGCCCCACCCATTCAGTCTACAGCAGTTTAGCCCCACCATTCAGTCTACAGCAGTTTAGCTCCACCATTCAGCTACAGCAGTTTAGCCCCACCCATTCAGTCTACAGCAGTTTAGCCCCACCATTCAGTCTACAGCAGTTTAGCCCCACCATTCAGCTACAGCAGTTTAGCTCCACCATTCAGCTACAGCAGTTTGGCCCCACCATTCAGTCTACAGCAGTTTAGCTCCACCATTCAGCTACAGCAGTTTGGCCCCACCATTCAGTCTACAGCAGTTTACCTCCACCTTTCAGTCTACAGCAGTTTAGCTCCACCATTCAGTCTACAGCAGTTTAGCTCCACCATTCAGTCTACAGCAGTTTACCTCCACCATTCAGTCTACAGCAGTTTAGCTCCACCATTCAGTCTACAGCAGTTTAGCTCCACCATTCAGTCTACAGCAGTTTAGCTCCACCATTCAGTCTACAGCAGTTTAGCCCCACCCATTAAGTCTACAGCAGTTTAGCTCCACCATTCAGTCTACAGCAGTTTAGCTCCATCATTCAGTCTACAGCAGTTTAGCCCCGCCATTCAGCTACAGCAGTTTAGCTCCACCATTCAGTCTACAGCAGTTTAGCTCCACCATTCAGTCTACAGCAGTTTAGCTCCATCATTCAGTCTACAGCAGTTTAGCCCCACCATTCAGCTACAGCAGTTTAGCTCCACCATTCAGTCTACAGCAGTTTAGCCCCACCATTCAGCCACAGCAGTTTAGCTCCACCATTCAGTCTACAGCAGTTTAGCCCCACCATTCAGTCTACAGCAGTTTACCTCCACCATTCAGTCTACAGCAGTTTAGCTCCACCATTCAGTCTACAGCAGTTTAGCCCCACCATTCAGTCTACAGCAGTTTAGCTCCACCATTCAGTCTACAGCAGTTTAGCTCCACCATTCAGTCTACAGCAGTTTAGCTCCACCATTCAGTCTACAGCAGTTTAGCTCCACCATTCAGTCTACAGCAGTTTAGCTCCACCATTCAGTCTACAGCAGTTTAGCTCCACCATTCAGCTACAGCAGTTTAGCTCCACCATTCAGTCTACAGCAGTTTAGCCCCACCATTCAGTCTACAGCAGTTTAGCTCCACCATTCAGTCTACAGCAGTTTAGCTCCACCATTCAGCTACAGCAGTTTGGCCCCACCATTCAGTCTACAGGAGTTTAGCTCCACCATTCAGTCTACAGCAGTTTAGCTCCACCATTCAGTCTACAGCAGTTTAGCTCCACCATTCAGCTACAGCAGTTTAGCTCCACCATTCAGTCTACAGCAGTTTAGCTCCACCATTCAGTCTACAGCAGTTTAGCTCCACCATTCAGTCTACAGCAGTTTAGCCCCACCCATTAAGTCTACAGCAGTTTAGCTCCACCATTCAGTCTACAGCAGTTTAGCTCCACCTTTCAGTCTACAGCAGTTTAGCCCCACCATTCAGTCTACAGCAGTTTAGCTCCACCATTCAGTCTACAGCAGTTTAGCCCCACCATTCAGCTACAGCAGTTTAGCTCCACCATTCAGTCTACAGCAGTTTAGCTCCACCATTCAGTCTACAGCAGTTTAGCTCCACCATTCAGTCTACAGCAGTTTACCTCCACCATTCAGTCTACAGCAGTTTAGCCCCACCATTCAGTCTACAGCAGTTTAGCTCCACCATTCAGCTACAGCAGTTTAGCTCCACCTTTCAGTCTACAGCAGTTTAGCCCCACCATTCAGTCTACAGCAGTTTAGCTCCACCATTCAGTCTACAGCAGTTTAACTCCACCATTCAGTCTACAGCAGTTTGGCCCCACCATTCAGTCTACAGGAGTTTAGCTCCACCATTCAGTCTACAGCAGTTTAGCTCCACCATTCAGTCGACAGCAGTTTAGCTCCACCATTCAGCTACAGCAGTTTGGCCTACCCATTCAGTCTACAGCAGTTTAGCTCCACCATTCAGTCTACAGCAGTTTAGCTCCATCATTCAGTCTACAGCAGTTTAGCCCCGCCATTCAGCTACAGCAGTTTAGCTCCACCATTCAGTCTACAGCAGTTTAGCTCCACCATTCAGTCTACAGCAGTTTAGCTCCATCATTCAGTCTACAGCAGTTTAGCCCCGCCATTCAGCTACAGCAGTTTAGCTCCACCATTCAGTCTACAGCAGTTTAGCCCCACCATTCAGCCACAGCAGTTTAGCTCCACCATTCAGTCTACAGCAGTTTAGCCCCACCATTCAGTCTACAGCAGTTTACCTCCACCATTCAGTCTACAGCAGTTTAGCTCCACCATTCAGTCTACAGCAGTTTAGCCCCACCATTCAGTCTACAGCAGTTTAGCCCCACCATTCAGTCTACAGCAGTTTAGCTCCACCATTCAGTCTACAGCAGTTTAGCTCCACCATTCAGTCTACAGCAGTTTAGCTCCACCATTCAGTCTACAGCAGTTTAGCCCCACCATTCAGTCTACAGCAGTTTAGCTCCACCATTCAGCTACAGCAGTTTAGCTCCACCATTCAGTCTACAGCAGTTTAGCTCCACCATTCAGTCTACAGCAGTTTACCTCCACCATTCAGTCTACAGCAGTTTAGCCCCACCCATTAAGTCTACAGCAGTTTAGCTCCACCATTCAGTCTACAGCAGTTTAGCTCCACCTTTCAGTCTACAGCAGTTTAGCCCCACCATTCAGTCTACAGCAGTTTAGCTCCACCATTCAGTCTACAGCAGTTTAGCTCCACCATTCAGTCTACAGCAGTTTAGCTCCACCATCAGCTACAGCAGTTTGCCCACCATCAGCTACAGCAGTTTAGCTCCACCATTCAGTCTACAGCAGTTTAGCTCCCACCATTCAGTCTACAGCAGTTTAGCCCCACCATTCAGTCTACAGCAGTTTAGCTCCACCATTCAGTCTACAGCAGTTTAGCTCCACCATTCAGCTACAGCAGTTTGGCCCACCCATTTAGCTACAGCAGTTTAGCTCCACCATTCAGTCTACAGCAGTTTAGCTCCATCATTCAGTCTACAGCAGTTTAGCTCCACCATTCAGCTACAGCAGTTTAGCTCCACCATTCAGTCTACAGCAGTTTAGCTCCACCATTCAGTCTACAGCAGTTTAGCTCCACCATTCAGTCTACAGCAGTTTAGCCCCACCATTCAGTCTACAGCAGTTTAGCTCCACCATTCAGCTACAGCAGTTTAGCTCCACCATTCAGTCTACAGCAGTTTAGCTCCATCATTCAGTCTACAGCACTTTAGCCCCACCATTCAGTCTACAGCAGTTTAGCTCCACCATTCAGTCTACAGCAGTTTAGCTCCACCATTCAGTCTACAGCAGTTTAGCCCCACCCATTCAGTCTACAGCAGTTTAGCCCCACCCATTCAGTCTACAGCAGTTTAGCTCCACCATTCAGCTACAGCAGTTTACCTCCACCATTCAGTCTACAGCAGTTTAGCTCCACCATTCAGCTACAGCAGTTTACCTCCACCATTCAGTCTACAGCAGTTTAGCTCCACCATTCAGCTACAGCAGTTTAGCTCCACCATTCAGTCTACAGCAGTTTAGCCCCACCATTCAGTCTACAGCAGTTTAGCTCCACCATTCAGCTACAGCAGTTTAGCCCCACCCATTCAGCTACAGCAGTTTAGCTCCACCATTCAGCTACAGCAGTTTAGCTCCACCTTTCAGTCTACAGCAGTTTAGCCCCACCCATTCAGTCTACAGCAGTTTAGCTCCACCGCTCAGCTACAGCAGTTTAGCTCCACCATTCAGCTACAGCAGTTTAGCCCCACCATTCAGTCTACAGCAGTTTAGCTCCACCATTCAGTCTACAGCAGTTTAGCTCCACCATTCAGTCTACAGCAGTTTAGCTCCACCCATTCAGCTACAGCAGTTTAGCTCCACCATTCAGCTACAGCAGTTTAGCCCCACCATTCAGCTACAGCAGTTTAGCCCCACCATTCAGTCTACAGCAGTTTAGCTCCACCATTCAGTCTACAGCAGTTTAGCTCCACCTTTCAGTCTACAGCAGTTTAGCCCCATCATTCAGTCTACAGCAGTTTAGCTCCACCATTCAGTCTACAGCAGTTTAGCTCCACCATTCAGCTACAGCAGTTTAGCTCCACCATTCAGCTACAGCAGTTTAGCTCCACCATTCAGTCTACAGCAGTTTAGCTCCACCATTCAGTCTACAGCAGTTTAGCTCCACCTTTCAGTCTACAGCAGTTTAGCCCCATCATTCAGTCTACAGCAGTTTAGCTCCACCATTCAGCTACAGCAGTTTAGCCCCACCATTCAGCTACAGCAGTTTAGCTCCACCATTCAGCTACAGCAGTTTAGCTCCACCATTCAGTCTACAGCAGTTTAGCTCCACCATTCAGTCTACAGCAGTTTACCTCCACCATTCAGTCTACAGCAGTTTAGCTCCACCATTCAGTCTACAGCAGTTTAGCTCCACCATTCAGCTCATTTATTTCCGTCTTAAAGTCACAGTAACAGTAACCACCTGTTTAACTGTGAGGGATAAAAAGAAGCTGGAAAATGATCACGTAGAAACAAATTATGGATGTTTTTGGGCACTTTCATCCTTGAATGTTCAGATGTTTCAGGTTGTTAGCATTAGTGTGTTTAGGATCGGTTTAGTTCAGCTTTGGTCAGTGATTAATTTTAGTAGTGAATAAATTGGCTTATAAAGATCAAAAGTGTGTTTACAGCTTTTACAGTTTTAATTCTGTGCCTGTTTTCCTGTGTTTTGATTGTGAGTCATTTGCTCACTTCTCTCATATTGAGATGTAAACAGACTCGTCCATTTCACACCAAATTCTTAAAGGTACAAGTCAGGTTAGGAAATCACTTTTGTGAGGAAGATTTTTGGGCTGTTTTAATTTTTCGTCAGCATATTCAGGCAGAAAGTTAACGTTACTGTTTGGAAGCTAAAGTAAGCTAATGTAAAGTTCCTCCCACTTTGAAGTTACATCATCAGGAGGGAGATTCTTAGTCTGGAGTGTCTCTTTAAATTGGAGTTTGGATTTACTGAAAACAGACTTTTTTAAAGAACTGTGAGAAAGAGCATTTTAAAGAGACTAAAGTTTGTTTTAGATTTTTCCTGATTGTATCTGGAGGTAACCAGTGTTCTAAAATTCATAATCTAGAACCCATATTCTATAGGGGCAGCTGGGTTTTTTGTCTGCAGGTGGTCTCACCTTTCTGAATCTTCGTGAAGTCTGGCCGAGGCAGCAGATGTCCTGGACGTCCAGGAAGGAGAGGATGCGCAGCAGCAGCCGGTCAGGTAAACGCTCCAGGTAGTCAAAGTGTCCCTGGCACAGAGCCAAGGTGTACCCCAGGACGTTAGGACCGAAAACCATGCCGACCTGGTCTGGAGAACCGAACACAAAGTACAAACAAATGTTATCTTTATGCATAAATCATCACAGACCTGATTATTTAACAGACTTGTCAGACAGCAGAGGGTCGTATTTTGCTCACTGATGTGTCAAAAGCCTTCGATTGAGTCGACACGCAGAGTTAATGCAGTAGATCTACAGCAGATCTGTGTCTTCAGCTTTTTCTCAGACTCATGGGTGAGTTTACAGTAAGGAGAAGACAGAGCTGAATGGCACTAACAGCAGATGGAAAAACATCACATCCACAATGTGGTCCACAGGGAGGGGTCATCTCACCTCACCTGTTTCACTTCATATGTCCACAGGGTCAGTTCTGTTGGAGGATACGTTTGATGTGGGCTGTGCTAACGACATACGTTTGTCTCGTGACATTAAAATTTCCTTTTGGCAGCGACACCTTAATGGGAAGTGAAGTTAAGCAGCTGGAGGAGCGGCAGCAGTAAATAATATGGTCCTCAATGGCAACAAGTCAGTTGAGATGAGAGTGTGTTTCTCTAAAGATCCTCTTCAACTCCCTCCTTTAATCACTGGTGACCAGACTGTCCCTGTCAGATAGATATATAGACAGACAGACAGACAGATAGATAGATAGATAGATAGATAGATAGATAGATAGATAGATAGATCGATAGATCAACTCAGTGGAGATTCATATCAGAGGCAGTGAAAAAAGCTTCTGAGCGTCGCATTTCCTCACTGACTTGGCAAGAAATGGGTTCCTGTTGAAGAGCTTGTTGATATAACACCCTCATTGGGCCATGCCTTGAGTTTGGGAGTGGGCTGCTGGTGGGCTGCACAGAGAAACAGTGAGCAGCTCTGGAGGCTCAAAAAAGAGCTGTAAGAATCATCACACGGCTTCATAGGCTTCCTCTACATCCTCCAGATGTGCAGACATGGTGGAAGCAGACCACCGTAAAACTGACGAAAGACGTGCATCAGCCTGATCACCCTTTTAGTCTCTGCACTGGGAGTCAGAACGTTTTGTGAATAAACTAAACATTAACTGATTCAGTGGTTTCTGACACTGTAGGACTCGCCGTTCTCTACAAACAAAGACTAAAGCACTTCAGCAAGTCTATCAGTGAGGAGCTGTAGAGTGGAATACTAAATCCACTAGTGGGTGCTGTGTGTGTGTGTGTGTGTGTGTGGTGTGTGTGTTTGTGTGTGTGTGTGTGTGTGTGTCTGTGGTTGAATATGTGTGTGTGTGTGTGTGTCTGTGGTTGAATGTGTGTGTGTGTGTGTGTGTGTCTGTGGTTGAATGTGTGTGTGTGTCTGTGGTTGAATGTGTGTGTGTGTGTGTGTCTGTGGTTGAATGTGTGTGTGTGTGTGTGTGTGTGTGTGTGGTTGAATGTGTGTGTGTGTGTGTGTGTGTGGTTGAATGTGTGTGTGTGTGTGTCTGTGGTTGAATGTGTGTGTGTGTCTGTGGTTGAATGTGTGTGTGTGTGTGTGTGTGTGTGTCTGTGGTTGAATGTGTGTGTGTGTCTGTGGTTGAATGTGTGTGTGTGTGTGTGTGTGTGTGTGGTTGAATGTGTGTGTGTGTGTGTGTGTGGTTGAATGTGTGTGTGTGTGTGTGTGTGTGTGTGTCTGTGGTTGAATGTGTGTGTGTGTGTGTGGTTGAATGTGTGTGTGTGTCTGTGGTTGAATGTGTGTGTGTCTGTGGTTGAATGTGTGTGTGTGTGTGGTTGAATGTGTGTGTGTCTGTGGTTGAATGTGTGTGCGTGTGGTTGAATGTGTGTGTGTCTGTGGTTGAATGTGTGTGTGTCTGTGGTTGAATGTATGTGTGTGTGTGTGTCTGTGGTTGAATGTGTGTGTGTGTGTGTGTGTCTGTGGTTGAATGTGTGTGTGTTGAATGTGTGTGTTGAAGGTATGTATGTGTGTGTGTGTCTGTGGTTGAATGTGTGTGTGTGTGTGTGTGTGTTGAAGGTATATATGTATGTGTGTGTGTGTCTGTGGTTGAATGTGTGTGTGTGTGTCTGTGGTTGAATGTGTGTGTGTGTGTGTGTGTGGTTGAATGTGTGTGTGTGTGTGTGTCTGTGGTTGAATGTGTGTGTTTGTGTGTGTCTGTGGTTGAATGTGTGTGTTTGTGTGTGTCTATGGTTGAATGTGTGTGTGTGTGGTTGAATGTGTGTGTGTGTGTGTCTGTGGTTGAATGTGTGTGTGTGTGTGTGTCTGTGGTTGAATGTGTGTGTTTGTGTGTGTCTATGGTTGAATGTGTGTGTGTGTGGTTGAATGTGTGTGTGTGTGTGTCTGTGGTTGAATGTGTGTGTGTTTGTGTGTGTGGTTGAATGTGTGTGTGCGTGTCTGTGGTTGAATATGTGTGTGTGTGTGTGGTTGAATGTGTGTGTTTGTGTGTGTCTATGGTTGAATGTGTGTGTGTGGTTGAATGTGTGTGTGTGTGTGTCTGTGGTTGAATGTGTGTGTGTTTGTGTGTGTGGTTGAATGTGTGTGTTTGTGTGTGTCTATGGTTGAATGTGTGTGTTTGTGTGTGTCTATGGTTGAATGTGTGTGTGTGTGGTTGAATGTGTGTGTGTGTGTGTGTGTGTGTGGTTGAATGTGTGTGTTTGTGTGTGTCTATGGTTGAATGTGTGTGTGTGTGTGTTTGTGTGTGTCTGTGGTTGAATGTGTGTGTGTGTGGTTGAATGTGTGTGTGTGTGTCTGTAGTTGAATGTGTGTGTGTGTGTGTGTGTCTGTGGTTGAATGTGTGTGTTTGTGTGTGTCTATGGTTGAATGTGTGTGTGTGTGTGTGTGGTTGAATGTGTGTGTGCGTGTCTGTGGTTGAATGTGTGTGTGTGTCTGTGGTTGAATGTGTGTGTGTGTCTGTGGTTGAATGTGTGTGTGTGTGTGTGTGGTTGAATGTGTGTGTTTGTGTGTGTCTATGGTTGAATGTGTGTGTGTGTGTGTTTGTGTGTGTCTGTGGTTGAATGTGTGTGTGTGTGTGTGTGTGTGTGTCTGTGGTTGAATGTGTGTGTTTGTGTGTGTCTATGGTTGAATGTGTGTGTGTGTGTGTCTATGGTTGAATGTGTGTGTGTGTGTGTGTGTGTGTGTGTGTGGTTGAATGTGTGTGTTTGTGTGTGTCTATGGTTGAATGTGTGTGTGTGTGTGTGTGTCTGTGGTTGAATGTGTGTGTTTGTGTGTGTCTGTGGTTGAATGTGTGTGTTTGTGTGTGTCTATGGTTGAATGTGTGTGTGTGTGTGATTGAATGTGTGTGTTGAATATTTGTGTGTAAACAGGTTTTTTGTTTCAGAAGGTAAATATTGTAAATAACATATTAATATTTTCTTAAGGAAAATACTGACGTTCTAGCTAATGACGTCACAGCTGCATTCTGCATATAATCTAATGTCAGTAAGTAGACGAGAAGCGTTTTACCTGCGTTGCCGTTCATAATCCCATCACGGTCGTCCTGTTTTCGCGGTTAACATTCCTAAATCTCATCTGTTTTCTCTCCATCTTCAGGCTGGTGAGAGTCGTCATGGGGGCCGCGTCCTCCGTTTCTACTGTCTCTCTCACCTGGATGTGGCGTTTAGATGATTTGTCATCTTTTATGGTCCAATTTTAGCTTTTTAGTCCTGACAGTGAGACTGTTTGTGTAACGGTGGAGGTGAGATGCAAATACAAGTTGCTTTTATTCAAATTAGAGTTAACAGAGTCCAGAAACTGAGACACAGAGGTTTGAAGAACAGACCATAACGAGAACAAAACCAAACCACAAGATGAATAAAAACAAGTGACAGAGTGACATCCACAGTGCAGGACAGTGACTGTACAAACACTGGGACTAATGAGGGGCGGAGCTACAGGCAGGTGGAGAAGATAACAAGGGGGCAGGACCAGGAAGGAGACAGAACAAAAAACAAAAGCACATGGCACAACAGAGGAGAAGAAACAGACACACTCAGAGGGACAAAGGGGGAAACCGTGACAGTCTGTTCTCTTGTTGACGACACACCGAACAGAGCGCTGGGCCTCGTTCTCCAACCGTTCTTAAGAGGAAATTCCTTCTTAAACCCACTTACGCAGTTTTCCCGAAGAATCTGACTCACCAGTGTTCTCTTATGTGGGATTTATTCTGAGGTAAGAACAGAATCTACACACACTCAAGAGCACTAAGGTGAGAATAGTTCTGTGCTTTAAGAACACATCATGAATCTGACGTAGACTTTTTCTTAGGATCTTTCTCAAGAACACACTTAAGAACAAACTCAGGAAGATATTGGAGAACAAGACCCACTGTCTGGCTTGTCTCCTCATAAACTAACCAATCATGGCGCATTCATGGTTTTTCTCCGCTTCTCATTAAAAAACATTTATAACCTTCCTCTTCTTGGCCTGTGTCTCCTCCTCAGATGTTTTCTCTGCAGACCTCGCAACCCCTGAGATGTAACACCACGTTGTTTGTTAGCTGCGCTGGCCTCGGCTACGTGACCTGAGGTGTATTGTATTTGGCTGGTGGCGGGTGCTGATTTCCAACCCTGCTGTGAAAGGTTCATCTACAGAAATGCAGCTGTTCATCTCCAATAAAAATCATGTCAGACCAATAAAACCAGTGCAGGGAAGTGCAGACGTCCAGTCAGGCAGTGAGGTTCTGAGAGCTTTTTCAAAAACTCACATTTTCCAAATGTCCAGTATGTTGTACACTGAATATTATGGCTGCATTCAGACAGTCAGCCCAAATCTGATTTCTGCCGTATCCAGATTGATTTTTTAGGGGCAGTCATGGACTGGAGGTTAGGGAACCAGCCCTGTGACCGGAAGGTCGCCGGCTTGATCCACTTGGCCGTCAGTACGTGACTGAAGTTCTCTTGAGCAAGACACCTAACCCCCAACTGCTCCCCAGGCGCCGTGGATGGGGCTGCTGCTCCGGGCAAGTGTGCTCACTGCCCCTAGTGTGTGTGTTCACTAGTGTGCATGTATGCGGGTGTTTCATTGTTTTGTTAGTCTAAACAGCAAAAAAACCCTCATGAAATCTGAAATTTGCCAATCGGATCCAAACCACATTTGGGGGTGGTCTGAAATGTGACTCCAATCAGATTTTTACAGATGTGTCTCAGTCTGGACGCTCAACGATGTTGAATCCAGAAGGATAAAGTGCTGGGATTCAAGAAGAGCTCCAAAGATTCATGATGATGAAGAGAGTTCTGAAGAGTTTGGAGGGGAGATGATGCACCTCCATCTCTCCTGCAGCCGTGACTGAAATCTGCATCACCAGCGTAGCTACGTAGTTACTGACGCCTATGTTGTTACCATGGCAACCCATGCAGATAGACTGGTGACGTCTGGACACACAAATCAGATCTAATCACTTACAGATAACAGAGTGAACAGTTGCCTCAAAAGATCTGATTTGAGAGACAAACCTGATTAGCCTGCAGTCTGAACACAGACTAAATGTTTTCTGATAAATAAAAAAAAAATTAATGTATTATGGGGTTTTATATGCAGCAGAGAACAGGTTTCATTACAAAACATTGTTTGTTTTTAAAGTGTTTGGTCTCGGAGCAACCAGTCATCTGCAAAAGTTTAAACATCCCCGGTCAAATTACATGTGTTGATTAAACTCATCCACAGAGACAGAATATCACATCTTTCTGCACAATTTCTATTAATTTGCTGAGTTTAACATATAAAAAAAAAAAAGTCAATATAAAATGAGCCACAACTTCTGTCTAATTTCATTTCGTCAGAGTGTTAAATTCAGCAATAAACAGTAACTGTGTATTAAAATGTGCAGAAGTGAGTCTCTGTAGAAGATCTGTAACTTATTTACACTCAGAAAATCAACAACATGGAATTTGACTGAAACAGGCACCAAATGTTTGTATATAACTGTGTAGGAAACTGTGTATAAATATATAACTGTTTGATTGGGTCTTACGCTGCAGTCTGGCATCGTTCAGAAACTCTTCGTGGGACAGTTTCAGCTCTCCAGGCGCTGCTCCTCTGAACTCGATCCTCAGAGAAACCTTCCACCATCTCCAGATCACCTTAAGCACCAGAACCAGAAATCAAAACCTCCTAAATCCTGTCCTAACTTTAGGATGAACCCCAACAGGGTCCTCACTTCTGTTTAAGGTCTGTTTCTATGGTTTTTAGGCAGCTGAGTCAGCAGCATAGTTCACTACCAGCATAATGAGCTCCATTTATTTCTACTGTAAAACGCTGCTTTCACTGTGAGATGATTTTCTTTTCTAACTCTGCGTTTTAAAGATCTCAGACGCTGCAGACTCGATCTCCACCGCCCCTCTGATCACCTTCGTGTGTTAATGTTGATGATGAAATATTACAGTGATGGTGGTGAATAATGAGGAGGCGGAGCTGAACGTGTGTCTGTTTATTAGGAGGAGTAACGTTAGCGCGCTTGGCTAAAGCGTTTGGGAAATGGAGACTGAAACTGGGGAGCGGCGGCGCTCTGATAAACAGCAGGGGGCACTCTCACAGTATTCACTACTTACAGTTTATCACACTTTAGTTCTGTTTGACCTTTTTACATTAGTAACAGCAGCTTAATTCACATTTTAACATTATTTTGATGACGTGTTTACATTTTAGCTGTGTTTATGGTCAGTTAACAGTTAGTTTAGCTAACATAAATAACATTATCTTAGCTAACTTAGCTCACTGCTAATGACGGTCTCACTGAGAAACTGATATTTGTACACTTTTCTCACTTTTCACACTCTAACATCTATATTTCTGTGTTGGTGCTGGTGGAGAAGAACAGAGCACAACCTAACATTCATTTTTTGCTGAATAATTTTAATTTTAATTTTTAATAAAAGCATCCTGAACATCTGTGCTACAAATGAAAATATAAACTTTTCAGCTCCTACTAATCATAAATAATACAGCTGAAATCAGTTACCCCACAGGGGGGATGGAGGGGTGAACTATCACAGCCACCAAAACGTCTGATAAAGTGCTGCAAATCAAAATGAACTTGGTACAATCCTTAGTTATTTGAGCCAGATAAGCTTCTCAACCTAAATACATAAAAATATCTGCATTACAGTAAGTATGATCAGTGAAAAGAGGCTCAGTCACTGAGAACAGAGTAGAACAGGCAAATATCAACACCAGAAACTGAAAGATATTATATTACTAAGATATTACTAATAAAGATAAGATGTTTATTAGTAGTTCAGACTCTTTACTTTGGGGGTCTTGGTCATAACAGTGTGTTAACCTGTGCTTCTCTACTGCAGAACAACAGTCTTACATTCCTAACTCTCTAAAACATGATGTTTCCTCAGATTAACACACATTTTCCTCACTTTACAATGATGTTATACATATTTAATAACAATTAAAGGGTTAATAATGATGAAATGAGTTTTAATAAACCAATAAAAGCTTGGACTTGGCAGTGGACATTTTAAATCTTTTTGGCACAGTCAGCAGTGGATGACATGACTGCTCTGGGAAAGATGGTTTGTTGGATGAGAGGAATCTGTAATTCCTCTTTTTCCTCGTTTATGGGTGCTGAATGTGAACAGAATAAACTGAAAAAAAGTGATATTCCAATTATCTCTGCTTTACTGACAACACCTTTCATTTTATTACGAGTCTGAATGTCTGTGTTTCCAAACCAAACTGTACTAGATGACGTGAGAACTCTCGATAACAGACAAGTAGAATCTAACGGTAGATCTCCTTACTGTGTATTTTTTTAACTGTGTCTCTAAGAACATCTTTGATGAGATTTTTTTAATGATGTGATCAGAATTAATGTTTCGCTTCAACAAATTGCTAATGTCCCCCAAAATTTTACAACAGATATTGATCATCCCCAAACCTGCACTGGAGTTTATACACTCTGTTTCTTCATATAATCTACAATGATCTCCACTCACTGTAGATTACAGGAAGAAACAGAAAATAAACCTCCAGTGCAGGTCAGTTCTTTCTTTAGAAGTATTTGTGTTTTTGTTTATTTAGGAAATATAAATAACGTAATATTAGTGTGTCACAAGATCTGTGGCTAGAAGCCCATTCCAGTCAGTCCTGCTGTAGCAGTCTGGTTTACCACCGTCGTCAGTTTAGCTTAAAGAATTAAAGCCGATTTTGTTACTTTAGTATTACTGAATGATGTTGCTGTGCAACAAATCAAACATTACTTCATGTCTCACGTGATTCATTGAAGATTACATTGAATAGAATTAGTCTCTGTTTTTCATACTTTCAGTAACTGACTGATAATCTTTAGCTAAACAGATCCAGTGAGTCTCATGTCTCTTCTGTAGTGACAGTCGGGTGACGTCAGTAAAAGGTTCTTAATTTCATCATCTCCTCTCGTATTTCTGCGCTTCTCTGAATGAGGACAGATAAATAAAGCAATAATAACTGTTATAAACACACATTTAGAATCTCTGGCAAAATCTGACAAAAGTCTCATTAATATTTTGTAGCGCTTATTAAGGTTTATTCTTGTTGTTCTGGTTGCTGCGCGCATTGTTACATTGTTCACTCTGAGCTAATGCTAATGCTAAAGCTAAGCTGCAGCTGGTCAGTGTGGCGTTAGCTGCTGAGGAGGATCTCGCCGACCTTCACACGAGATCTTTCAGTACACTTCACTGAAACGACACGTCAGCAGGGTACTCATCATATTAAACTGATTTTTAGTAAATACAGTAACTCAGAGTTGATCCTCCTTTACTGTTCATAGTTTGAGAGTTTGATATATTATTACAGAATTTTTTTATTAATATTTTATTTCAATTTGTCCAGTTTTACAAACAGCGTTAGTTTCTCTGAATCTGAACACACCAGACGTCCGTCTCTAAAAGCTCCCTCACAGAAAGTTACTACATGAAATGGTTTTCCACTATTTTCCATCATCAACATTCCATATAAACTCAGAAGACTCGTGTAGGTTCACTGGTGGTTCTGGATAGTAAATAAAATGTCTATATCTGTGTTGTAGTCATGGCGACCCCTGGTTCCTATCACCACCACTGTAAAGACATCTGAACCATTTCACACCAAATCATTCTGAATTTCTCTGTTTACATGTAGGAATTCTGAAAGTCGGCGGAGTTCCCCTGTGCTGGTGTGGGTGGTGTGTACCTGTTGGTGTGTGATGATGATCTGGTACAGGTCTTTAGAAGGGGGGAGGCTTTGACCGCTCAGGGTGAATAGAGTCTCTTCCAGCAGAGCCGCCATTGTAGGACGCTGTGGACGGTCACCATGGCAACAAGAACACTCATCCCCTCCCGTCCCTGGCTCCTCCTCCTGTAAACTCCGCCCCCGTCCTTTTTTCCAGTGACGTTGCACCGAAGCAGCGTTACAAGATTACACTGTAATATTTTTCATACATTTGTGCTCGGATTTTCAGATTTAGTCTTCAGGTTAGGCTCATATTTAGGAAGAAAATATCTAAACGAATTAAAATAGAATTTTTTAAACATCTGTTTTTTGTTTTTTTTTAGGGGGGGGTCACGACCCAGCGGAGTAATATGTGAACAGCGGAGGGGGTTTTTGTATAAACAAAGGCTGGCTGACTTGCTTTTTTACGCTCCTAATCGAAGTGAAAATTGGTTATTTCTGTTATCAGTGTCTCTAGATCTGTTTTGTGTGCTTGTGGGGGTTTGGAGGTTCCTCGGATGCTGTTTTCTGTCAGACGAACTAGTCCCCCCAGGTCCCCGGCGGAGGATCGGTGCTGCGGTTCGGTGAGTGCCGAGTGAAGCTGCGCTGTCACAGCCACAAACCCGCAACACGAACTAGGTAACAAAACAGCGCTTTTTTATCGATTTAATCCGCATAGACAACACAAAGCGGCTCTCTGCGGGGCTCACGGGGCTCTCTGCATGTGTTAGCCGCCGACAAACCGCGGATCCGATCCGGGAGAAAATGAATAATAACGCGGTTTTCCAGTTGTGATCTGTCGGATCCAGTTCCTGCTTTTCCTGTTTTCTTTTTTGTGCGGAGGCCGCTCAGCTCAGCTTTCTCTCTCCGACACACAATAAAAACACAAACTGCCGCCGCAATCATTTCTTGACAACGTTGGTAAGGTTTGGAGGTGAATTTGTTCTCTTTACTGGAACAGAAACGCACAGAGGCGTGCGAGTTAGCGTGTAGGTTAACGTTAATGCAGTGCGGCGGAGGACGGCGGCGTTAATCAGAATCATAATACGAGACGCGGACGGTCTCTGTTTAATTAAAGTGTATTTTCAAAATCAAACTCCGTTGAACTGAGAAACGACATGTAAAACGGTGATGAGCCGCGTCTAATGACGAGCTTTAGTCTCGGCCACAAACAACAACACGAAGCTGAAGTTAGCTTCCTAATTCGAATTCTCCGTTCCACCTTAAATGTTGCAGCAGTCCCATTCTGCCGCCTCCAGTGCCAGAATAGCAGTGCTGCACCATTTAAGGTGGAACGGAGAATTCGAATACTTCAGCCTCGTAACAACTTTGTCATAGCTGAGCGAATATAAAAGCCTGTCTGCTTCAAAGAGCCTAGTTTAGCTTAGCCTAGCCGGTTTGACCCGATACTACACGTCGGCAGTGTTGTAACATTAGTTTAGCCTAACAGCGCTCAGCTTCAGCCCCGCCGATACGGACATTGTCTCACTTTTAATCGGAACAGTAACGGCGCCGTGACGGATAATCAGCTAAAACTGGGCTGGATTGGTCGAAACTCACTGTAGCAGCTTAGCTTAGCCAAGGCCGCTGCTAACCAGCTCGCTTTAGCTTGCTGTTTTGCTAATGTTGACCTCTTTTGCTGATCATCCTGACCTGAATTCGCCGTAAAGTAAGGTGATTTTTTTTGTCGCTGTTTCTTTTTTGTTCCAGCTTTTTGACTCGTGCCGTTAACGTTAAGCAGGTAGCTGGCTAACTTGGTGCTAGCTAACATTTCAGGGTTAGCATTAGCCTCCTGCAGTGTCGCATTGGTGAGTCTTCAGCCCCCCAAAACGGGCAATACTAACACATTTTAGACAGAGGGGCATGTTTAACACTCTGTGGAAGATTATATTGGATATATTTTGGGGATTTTTGTGTGAGAGAGTGTCCGAGCCTGAGGCCGGCGGTGCTAACTCGGCTAGGTTAGCTGGCTAAATGCGTCAGAGTTTGGGCCTCGAATAAAAACTTCGCGAGTCAAAACAAATTAAACCCTTTCACACAGAAGAGTGTCCCAGTTTTTACATCTGGAAATCTCACAGCACACGTATAGTGCAGTTAGCTGCAGCCCAGCTGGCGAAATAATGACGAACAAAGACGAAAATAACGTTACTGGTTCGGGCCTAAAACGGCCTTGGTGATAATTATGTCGTATTTTCACGTCAACATTTGGAGCAGACGCAGCTCCAACACAGACAGATGATTTATTTCAGATAAAGGTTACAGCAAACGCCAGCTTTCTCACTCAGACGCTTTATTAGCTTATTTAGCCCTGCTCTTGATCTAAATAGCATCACTGTTTTGTACAGCTCACTGCAGAAGGAGCTGGTTGTGTTTGTAAATGACTCATACCGGCCTTTTTAGTGTTAAGTAAGATTTTAATAATTGTTTTAGCCCGAGTTCATCCACACTAACTCTAAATTGTGTGAAGGGTGATGTGTAGAAGTAAAGCATTATTGCTTCTCTATTAATATGCTGCTCAGACACTGAGACACAGTACAAAGTAGAGTAGATTAGATCATTAGGGTAACGCAGCTGGTACAGGTTCACAGAATTTCTGATTTGATATCATACAGTTGTGTCTCGATTCAATACAGCAAGAATAGTAAGTTTCTGGAAATGTCAGTATGCTAATGTTTCCATTTTCAGAGCTTACAGCTTTATAAATGTACGATATTTTAAACAAAAGCTGCTTTGTGACGTTCAGATCTAATCATGTAGTGTAAAGGTAACGTGCGAGCTGTGATAGTGTGATATGCCGCAATACACTTTAATATCATACAGCGTGATGCGATACAGTTTGTTGCAATACAATACGTTACGACAGGATGCGCTCCAGTCTGAACAACTTGATGCGCTGCAATTCAGTGCAGTTCGATACGATGCAGTCTGATGCACTGCGATACGATTCAGCATAACACAATACAGTGCGATATTATACAGTTTAGTGTTCTGCGATCTGGTTTATTGTATGTTACGCTATGATACAATACAGTAAGACATGCTACCAAACCGTATAACAGGTGACGGTGCAGTTTGGTGCAGTCCGATACGCTGTGATCAGATCTGATACTCTGTGTTACATCCCTTCAGAACAGTGGTGTGCACTTCATTTCTGAATTAATGCTAAAAAACCAAGCCTTAAATCTGGTGGCCTGAACTAGTGTTCAGAGGTTGTTTTCCTCCTCTGTATCAGTGACGTATCTGAGACATTAGGAGACTCAGTTTCAGCTGTATTTGAAAAGACATTCAGATGTTCTAACTGAAAATGACAGTCCAGACTGCAGCACTGAGTGTAGGTTTAATGTAGGTCACGTGTTCCTGTTTTGTCGGTCAGTTTCCTTGCTGAGTGTTGCTGCTTGGTCACGTGACTGGCCACAGGTCTGGTCATGTCAGTGAAACAGGATGTTAAAGATGTAGTAAAAAGGGTTTTCTGAGCCTCTGGTTCCTTAAATAGTACACACTCTTCTTAAAGTCTGAAGGAAAACTCTAACGTCAGTAATGTCGTCTGTCACTGGGGTTTAAAGGGGAATTCAACAATTTCTCAGAACTTCATTCAAAGTGGTTTAAGTTTATTTACTATCCAAAATCACCAGTGTGTCTGAGTTTATATGGAATGTTGAAGATGGAAAATCTGAAATTATAAGTTTGATAATTATTTTGTCTGTGTTTTTGTTTTAGAAAATCTTCTCAGAACTATCATAAAACAGTGTCTCAGTCATCAGGCAGTGAATTCATAACCATTTCATGTAGGAACTTTCTGTGAGGGAGCTTTTAGAGCTGGACGCCTGGTTCCCATCACCACCACTGTGAGCAATTCTCAGTTTTGGAAAATTGGTGAAATTCTCCTGTAAAAATGTGTATATGTATATCTTAAACACGCATACATATTGAATACAATGCAATGCAAAGAACAAAGGGATCAAATAATGTAATTACAGTTTTAGTTGGTAGTGAAACGTGTTGCGTGTTCAGATTCAGAGAAGCTAACACTGTGAAATTGGACAAATAGAAATAAAAAAAAAAAGGAGATGGAAATTATTAAAAAGTTAGCATGTATAAAGACAATCAAAATCCACGGTTGTGCTTGGAGATTCTCAGCCCTGTGTTTATATTTATATTTATATGTTGTTTCTTCCTGTAGAGCGAAGAGCTGAACAACATGACAGTATTAATTATTGTGATAAACTGTGTCTTAATAAGCTGCTCTGAGTATGTAGTGGATACAATCAGTACTGAAACACCCTGAACTGCATATTTGGTTACAAAGAGAGCAGGATTAGTACTGTTTAATTGGATTTAGTGCAGCTCAGTGTGTGAAATGTTTAATATATATCATTGTATTGATTGTTATTGATGGTATGTATTTTTAATATGGCTCCACTTTGTCTGTTCCAGCTTATCAGATGTCATAAAATAGTTCAGAAACGTCTTGAAGTATCGTGATGATATGCGATATTACGGGCTCTAGACGAGTGTTTTGAGCGTGACTAAAGTCGTAGTAGCTCTGATGATCTTCAGAGCCGGGACTTGGTTGGTGTTGGTGTTGATTAGTGGTTATTTGCGTTACCGACTGCCGCCTGACTGGTTTGTGTTTGTAAATTCCTTTTTAGCAGAATCATCTCAGGATGTTGTGCCACATTTGACTTTTAAAGCCACGTTTCTGAAGCTTTTCTCTTTCTTTTCTCCTACCCTCCCCCACCCCCCTCCTCCACCCCTCCATCGTGGCTGATGTTCCTCCCAGGCTGCCGGTTGGGGCTTTTGCACACGGCTGGTAAGTTCTCACGACCTTCCCTTCCTCCACACGTTGGCGGGGTGGGACGCTGGTAGGACAGGTGGGGTGATGGGCGGTGCTGAGCAAACATGACTCCAGCGTTCTAAAGTTCCTCTTAAAGCGATAGTTCACAGAGAGATCTAAACTCCCCCACACCCACTTAACCCCACACCCACTTACAGTGTAGGGGATCAGCTGAGACATCTTTGGTTTTTTTTTTTTTCAGTTTTAGCACTGGAGCTAATGTAGCTAACAAGTAATGGAAGTTTATACCCCACCAGTTAGCCTGGTGCTAACGGCACACCTTAATCGGCAAACGCATTTCTTCATATTCGTTACTGAAGCTGACAGCTTCTTATTTGAGTTTTCAGTTCCACCTTCAATGGTGCAGCAGTTACGTTCTGGTGCCTGGAAGTAGCTGCTGCACCATTTAAGGTGGAACGGCCAATTAGCATTGCAGAGAAATATAACTTGAGTTATTAATGCAGTGAAACAGAAACTGCGGATATTTTAGTGCAGAAACTCAGCGTCACCTAAACGTTCTGCTGTTCTGGAGTTCCAGCCGAATATAAACATCTGTATCTGCTGAGTCTGATGTCGTACGTCGTTAGCATCACAACCTCATTTACTAAGTTAGCCATCAGGCTCACCAGCACACCGTCCACACCACCCTTACTGCACGTGGCACTTTGTTCATGTCCATCAGAGGGAAAGTCTTTTTAAACTGAGGTTTATACTGAGGTTCTAGTTATTTGAACCGAAACTCATTGGAACCCGACACAGATGTGACAGAACAGAATCACAGTAAATGTTGCGTGATGATCACAAACGGTGACTGTTTTCCCAGTGAAAATGGGGGGCTTATCAGAGGACAGTTTAGCAGTGTACATTATAATAAGACAAAATAAATCAATGTCTGATTTGTTCCACAGCCACGGTCTACGGCAAAAGTTGCGAAAATTAATCTCTTGACTGAACGTTCTGCTGACCGCTGAGGTCACCTGCCATTCAAAATCATGGAATATGTGGTTTACCGTCGACTGTCTGCTGAAAACGTATAAACGCAGCGTCAGACAGCAAACAAGTCGTGACACTAGAACCAGAATCTTAATTCGCCTTTAATCTTAATTAGTATTGGGTGTACAAGGAATTTTTTTTGAGTCAACATAAAACAAAATCAAACCAAATAAAGACAGAAAAAGATATACTGATATGCATAGACAGTTCAGACAGTCTGAGTAGTATGAGATTGTTTGAAGTTATTTGAAATAAAATATACAGTATGTAGAGTGTAAAGGATTCGCGCAATTAGTATAAACACAATTGTATTGGTGAAATATGGATATTTCAGTACGTGCACATGTGCCCTGACTGCAGTGTCAGAACCCAGAGGTTATTCCACCTGACTGTTTGGTTCCCTTTCAGTCCTGTTTTATCGTGTCCTCTCAAACCTGGACTCTCAGCAGAAGGTGAGGAGGTTCAGTGAGGAGACCGTTCAGTCTGAGCGCGCTCAGCTAGCTGCAGTGAGCTCTGCTTTTTACAAGATTGAAAGTAATGTACGTAAGTTTTGTGGGTAATTGCTTACTCTGCCTGTCAGGTTTGCGTTGGAGCTGCAGAGGTGTGCCTTCATAGTTGTTGGTAGCTTTTTGTTTAATGCGCTGGTTAGCAGACTAATAATCTATTAATAATAATCTTTATGTGTAGAGCACTTTTTAATGCCAGTGGCAGCTCAGAGTGGTTTACAGACAGGAGATAAAGCTTAACAGTGGTACAACAGATCATGAGTATTAATTTAAAATCATTATAAGACAGTAACACAGCTCAGATTAAAGAGAGAAACACCAAGAGACGTAGTTTTACTGAAACTGAAGAGCTGCGTTTTCAGATGTTTATTAAAAGTGAGCTCTGAGCTCGACTGTCTAATAAAAGCTGAACTGAGCTCCACAGTTTAGAAGCAGAATAACTGAAAGAGTCTCTCCACGTTTTCTGTGTTTTACTGAAGGTGTTCAGAAGGTCAGAATCTGCAGATCTGAGATCATAAACAGACATTCAGGAGCTTTAAGGTCATTTAGAGCTTTAAAAACCAGCAGCAGAGCTTTAAACTCTCTCTAACAGATCCAGGCGGTCAGTGCAGTGTGTAACGGGGGTGATATGAGCTCTCTGTGTTGGTGCTGTGAGGATCCGTGCTGCTGTGTTCTGTACGGGTTCTAGAGGATGGGCTGTTTTCTCCAGTAAGAAGATCATTACAGTGATCAACTCTGCTGAACAAATGCAGCAGCTAGTTTCTCTGCGCGCTCTGAGATGGACGACTGTAATGAAGTTGTGTTGGTGGTGATGTATAAGATGGAGAAGCGTGATTCTTTAAACCTGCAGCTCGTCTGAACGTGGCTTTGGTGTAAAAACAGCTGTTCTGGGGTTTGAAAAGTGAAATGGATCAGGTCACCATGGTTTCTGGTAAGTTCTGCAACTAAAGTGAACGCTGGCCTTCTGAGAGCTCGTCTGAGAAACTTCACTTTAGCTAACGTGGTAATCAGACGAGGAGAGCGGTGAGGCTGAGGGGATGTTAAACCGTATTAAACTGGGTTTGTCCTGAATATCGTTTTTGGGCTCCAGAGCTTCAGCAGTAATCAACAGTGAATATTTTCGGGGGGCGGAGGCCAGAAGTCTTTCAGTAAACCGCGTCCGCGCTCATGTTGGAAGATCATTCACAGCTTCATCTGCTGTAAAATCTCCAGTCTGGCTACTTTCCGCACAGCGCGGCTTCGCTCTGTCTACCAGCCCGCTAGCCTCTCTTAGCGGCGGGCTTAAGGGGTAATGCTCGGGTTACCCAGCGCTTCATGGAGGGGGTCTAACTCGAAATACGAAGGGTAGCATCATGGCCCTAGTGAGGGCCCAGTGGGACCTGTTTGGGAATACATGCTGTCTAGCATTGCGTTAGTGTGACGGTCACTGCTGACTGAAATGAGCAGTAAGATGTGCTGGTATCTATAAAAATGGGCTAAAGTACATTAGCATAGCTAAAACAGTGGCGCACATCCTTAAGTTTAGTCCATGTTTATAGATGAGTCTGTTGTGCAGCGTCAGACTCCACATAATCGGGTCTGTTAGTGACACGTTTGAGGTTATAGATGAGGTTCTTAAAATGTTACCAGGTTCTTTCAGAATAAGGATCGATGGATAACGTAGTGCTAAGTGCTAAAGCAGATCTGGAAGCTAAATATAAGAAGGTGACGTTTTGTAGGCCTCTCCTACCAAAGGACTAGAGTTTATGTGAGAACAGCTCGGACTTCACGTTCTCAGTAGACAGCAGGAGCGTATCGTGTTCCGTCTGTAGGAGAACCGGTCGGAGCGTCGCGTCCCGCCTCCACGCAGACTGTCTCCAGCTCAGCACTCTTTTAGTTTTATAATTGCGGCCATTTAGAGGCTTTTCTCTGAGGAACGCCTACCGCAGGACTCAAGGTGCCACAGAGGGTTCTTTGAGCAATGCTACAGAAGAACCCCTGTATGGTTCCCTATAGAACCACGTCTAAAAGGTTTGTGCTTATGAGGAACCGTTTAAAGATTTAATGGAAATTCATTTAATGTAAATTTCCATACCAGTTTAAAGGTTCTTTCTCCATTCTTAGCAAAAAGGGTTCTACGTAATACCAAAAAAGGGTTCTTTAGCTTGTAACAATAGTGGAACTCTCAAAAATGCTCTATAGAAATCCTGTAACTGTGCATCATGAAAAGTTTCTTCAGACTGACAAAGTGTTCCTTGAATGTTTATGGTTCTATTTATAACTGTTTTCTTGACTAAAGAACTCTTGCAAACCATATATTTTAAAATTGTAGAACGTTTACATTATGTGGACTTTCTTTTATGTTTTAAAAGGTTCTTCTTGTTCAACATGTCTTATTTACAGAAGTGGTTCTCCAGAGAACAGCCTTTTTAGGGAGCTAAAAATGGTTCTTCTGTGGCATCACAGGAAAAACGTTTTAGCACCTTTATTTCTGAGAGTGAGTGTTCAGGTGTTCAGGGTTGTTCAGTGTTCTGTGTAGACGGAGTTTATGAAAGGTACTGTTTATTATCCAGAGCTGGGCTGAGAAGCTGATCTCCATCCAGTCCTGCGCCAGACGCGAAGAGGCGCAGTAACACGTCTGACCATGTGAAATGCTGCTATGTTAAAGTAGAATTTTGGTAAATAATTTTGATTTATATTTATTTTGAAAAGTAGTGAAGAGCATGTTCCTCATGCAGTGTTCAGTAAAAATACTACATTAATCATAATTTCCTACTAATTAACCTTTTAGTGAATGTTTCAGGGAATTAGAGCAAAAACTCTGTCTCTGGTCTGATGTAAGTTTCGGGCTGACATGAGCAAAAATGCTGGATTCAGGTGTGCTGGATTAAACTAAGTAACGAGTTGCTGCTGTTCATATGGAGAGAACGGAGAACACAAACGAGTGTAAAGCATTACGTCGGGTGTTTGGGATCCCCTGTTGTCCCGCTTTTTCACAGCAGTTTTACACTTTTATCTGCTGATATTCCAATAGGATCATGGATCATAAATGACTTTACAGTGGTGGTGATAGGAACCAGGGGTCGCCATGACTACAGCACAAATATAGACATTTTATTTACTATCCAGAACCACCAGTGAACCTACACGAGTCTTCTGAGTCTATATGGAATGTTGATGATGGAAAATAGTGGAAAATCTGAAATAATAAGTTTTCTTTGGGGACTATTTTGCCTCACAGCGCCCTGCATGTATCCCTCCACCATGAATGGAGTTTAAGTTCTCTAAACTATCATAAAACAGTGTCTCAGTCATCAGGCAGTGAATTCATAACCATTTCATGTAGGAACTTTCTGTGAGGGAGCTTTTAGAGGTGGACGTCTGGTTCCTATCACCACCACTGTGAACAGTTCTGACTCGTTAACTTCCTCTAAAATGGAGCGTTTCACACCAAACCACTCTGAACCTCTCTGTTTACATCTTAACCATTTAATTATGTGGAAATTCTGAAAATTGGTGGAATTCCCCTTTAAGAACCTTTAACAAGGCCTTTTGACTGACATGCAGACTGACCAATCAGAGGCTGTTAGGAAGTGTGACTGCAGCGCCATTTAAGGTGGATCTGAAGTTTAAATAAGACTCTGGTGAATAAGAATCCGAGTTCATGGACACGTTTGAGGCGAGTCTGTTGAGAATTAGGGCTGCAGTTAGCATCATGCTAATTGGTCGGATATGAGCTCCTATCACTTGTTAGCTACGTTAGCCTCGTAGCTCCAGCGCTAAAACTGTAGGCGCAAACTTCAGACACCGATTGAGTCGCAGTTGATCGTCTGAGTTTTGGGTGGGGTGGTCGGTGGGGGTCTGACGCCAGTGGAGTTCGGTGTGCAGGTGGACGAGCTACGATGGAGGAAGATGTTCATACTTCTCTGTTTTTCAGATGCGCTTTCCTGTCAATCTATAATCACGTCTAGGATCCCTTTTTAGAACCCTGTTATTGGGTTACTGATTAGATCAGGTGAAGATCACATCTTTCTCCTCCTGAATTGATCTGTGTGGGTGGGTAACAGTGTCACAGCGAGGGTCTCAGTGTGGATCTGATTGAAACTGACTGTTGATTGTGATTTGAATGCTTGACCTTGATCAGGTCATCATGGTGAGAACAGTGCAGTGCAGGCCTGTTTTGATCAGAGTGATTGATCACGAGTGATGGAGGGGACGAGGTCCAAATGGTGGTCTTGGTGTTAGCATAGTTTACCTCTCGCCTGATTGGCTAATAGATTAATTCATAGCTGATGTTGTAACTTCCCCTTTAAACTCAGTGTGACTGAATCAGAACTGATTCTCCTCCTGAGCTCTGAGGTATTGATGAGTGAAACTCTGGCCTCTTTTCCGCTGTTGAGCCGATAGATTCTCGGGACTGTACTGGGCCGTTCCGCACTGGGCTGGACTTGTGAGACCGGTTCTGGTTTCTTTTTCCATCTGTTGTATCGCTAAATCAGAACCAGGAAATACCGAAGAAAACTGCACAAAGTAGTGGCTAACTGCTAACAGGCTAATAGCTGCACACACAGCACCCACTCCAAAACACGTCTGATTCCGTCTGCCCAGCGTCTCAGCGAGCGCTCAGATTCTTCATCCTCTCGACCGTACGCTCTCGTTAGCTTAGCCTAGCCGGCTACAGCGTAAAACGATACAGAGCAGCTTTGATTTCGGCTTTCTGTCCCTCCAGCATTAATCGGTCTTCGCGCTCGCTGTTATACACTTTTATCACTATTCTTGTGATAGCAGAGCACCAGTGGGTGGGATTGAACTGGGGTGTTTGGATTTCTTCAGCTAGGCTAAGTTAGCTGGAAGAAAGGAGCTGGCTAGTATTAGCTTAGCTAGAGTGCTACAGCTCCAAACACACAGAACAGGTTTAATTTTGGGTTTCAGACCCTCCAACATCAGCCACTCGACGCCTTCCTCAGATTTGAGTCATTATCATCTAAACTTGTGTCAGTAAAGCTTTTGTGAGTTGGCTGAACCTGTTCTGGTGAGCAGAGCTGCTACTCTAGCTATGCTAATGCTAACCAGCTACTCTCTCCTGGTTTTTGCTGTTTAATGTTTAGAAACTGGTGTTAGATTGAAACTTTTTATTGAATGGTGGATTTAAAATTATGCACTGCTTTCGTTTATTTGCCGTCCGTGTGAACGAACTGAGCTTCATTCGGTTGTTTTCAGATTTAAAATAGAGCAGCAGGTTAGGGCTAGACATAAACATAGCTGTTCAGTGAATAGCTACGTCATTACATTATCCCACTGAACAGTTCTGTGGCCCCGGGTACGGTTAGCTAACGGGGTGGAAAAACCCGTGCTGATGTACAGTCATGCTGCCCAGCGCTGATCTCACTTATAAACATGAGTTTCTTTATTAAACCAACTGTCTGCGTCACTCAGAGGTGCAGTGAAAGTCTTTTAGGCGCGGTGGTTAAACCAGTGGTGCTGACAGTTTAGCGTATGTTGAGGGTCATAAGGGAATATAATAGTTAGATAGACGTAACTATTAAACCGTAGAATAAACAGCCGTGTTTGTGTGTGTTTCACATTCACGGTTCTGCGTGTGAAGTTCACTCTGCGAGAACCCAGCGTCAGGTTTTGACAGCAAATGTTTTACGCCGTCTTGGATTTTGTGATCGTGCTGAGTTCGTCATTAAGGTGGTCAGTTAGTTACGTCAGTAGTTCAGAGATGAGAAAATAGAGCTGGACGCTGCAGTCGAGGTCTTGATTTGGAGCCCTCTGGTCTAAATCAGCACGTCTTGCCTAAACTAGCGGCTTTAGTTAAGCTGAGTTTGTGCCACACAGTTTTTAGCCTGCACTCATTTCACCTGCTCCAAAAACTCCCTTACAGATCTTATAGGATTTTAGAGTGAACGTCCTGTATGAGAGAGGCGGGTTCCACAGAGCAGTTCTGCTGTTTGAAGCTCAACACCTCAGAACTGCTCAGAACACAGATAGAACTTTATAGTTCTAATTATTGATGCATCGTTTACTTGTCCATAAGTTAAACTGCTGTAAAGTCTCCAGATGATCCTCACTGAGACCCACTGGGTAAACGAGTGAGTCCTGTGATGGTCAGAGTCGTCTTTTTCGTTTTAGATTCATTTTGAAATCTTTACGTGCGGGAGCGTCTGGGTTTAAAAGGTTTGATCTGCTGTGAAGTGAATTAAAACTCACTATAAGAGGCGTCAGATCAGAGATGCTGCGATGCAGCTCGTCTGCAGAAGCTCCATCAGAAAACAATCATCTGTCCTCAAACTGTCTCGTTACGGCTTTAATTTGGCTTCTTTAAACGCAGCTTCTGGTGTTACATCAGCGACAGAGTAATGTCTTAAAACATGAATTTATTTCCTAGTTTGAATTCCATAATTTGACAGTCATACGAAGCAATTTAACAACAAAGTCACCATTCAGTTACAGCACTGACCAGTTAAACAGCTGCTGTTTGATCTGTTTGATTATCGTGTTATAAACTGATCTGAGACGACATCATTTTTACAGCTGTCTGCTTATGAAGGGACAACTTTTAGAGTAAGTACACTTTGATTGGTTTTGATTGAGTTGTTGAGAGAAAAAATAAATTTTCTTATTACTGAAAATTGGATTTTACAGAATTGATTTTCTCTAGTAAAAACTTCATATCAGAACTCAATTCTGTGATGTCAAGAATAACGTTTTTTACCAGTGATATGAATTTTGAGTGTTACAGGTTGTTTATTCTCACTTGAGCGCAGTTCAGTTTCATGCAGGTTTCAAGCAGCTAAAACTGTGGAAGGTTCTCAGTCTGAGAGCAGCTGGAGCTTCATCTCCTACAGTCACACACTTCAGACCTCAGACTGTCCGATCACAGTGAAATCAGACTCTAATAAACAGCGAGAGATGTGTTGAAGTTGTTTTCTGTGCAGATACAGATCAGGATAAATACAGGAGTTGACCTTTAACCCTCCTGTTATCTTTGGGGTCAGTTTGACCCCATTCAGTGTTTACTGTCTCTAAATGTGTGACATTTTTTTGGTTCGTATTTAATGAATTTTCCTAATTTGACGGAGAAAACTGGGTGAAGATAAAACATGGTGGTTTCAGTGCTGAACATGTTTTGTACGCGTCCTCTTTGTTCTTTGTGGTCAGTTTGAGCTCTCAGACTGTTTCACTTACACAACATAAATAACATCTAACACTCGTTTGTTTTGATGTTGAGGTCAATATAACGTGATTTTAAAATGTTCAGAAATAAACCTTCCTTCTGAGTCCCAACCTATCAGCCCTCACTTAACCAGAGGTGCTTATTTCCCAGAGATCAAACTGACCCTGATTAATAAAAGGTGTTAGTAAATTTGAGGATGACTGTTTGGGTTAATCTCTCAAATCTCTTAGTATAACCTCCCTGGAACATCTCACCGACAAATGGGTAGTGGATACTCATATATATTCTCTCTCTCTCTCTCTCTCTCTCTCTCTCTCTCTCTCTCTCTGTCAGTGAATGGTAGTTTATAGTAAGGGTATGTCCCTTCAGGAGAGAGGTGCCAATGTCCAACCGGCCTAATTCCAATCCAGGGGGGTCACTGCGCCGTTCACAGAGGAACACAGCCGCGGCCCAGCCACACGACCACACGCTCACAGGAAGGTCAGTACACACACACACAGCAGTGAGAGAGCGAGTGTGTGTGAGCGAGTGAAGGTGATTTCATGCTGCTGTTTGACTGAACTTTGATCTGAGCTTGTTTTTACAGGAATTTAACTTTTCTTTGTTGTTCTTACAGAGCTCTTTGTTTACTGTGACATTAAAAAGCATTTTAAAGCATTGTTCTGAAAAACCCAGCAGTGTTAATCATTGTTTAGAGTAACTCATTAAATCTGTATGCAGATGGGTGACAAATTAAACTCCAACATAGTCTTATTGTGGTTTTGAGCCACCAGAGCAGCTTCAGTTCCTCCTTATCACAGACTGTAAAGTTTGTGGAACTGTTCTAGACAGATGGAACACCGTTCTTCTTGAAGATATTCTCTCAGTCGGTGTGCTGATGGTGGTGGAGAGTGCCTGTGGTCCTTATTTTATGTGTTGTGGGGAGTTTGAGGTGGTCTAGTTGTCGTATGTGGGCGAGTGCACAGTTCAGCTTCTCATAGGAAAATATAAACAGTATCGGCTGTGTATGTTTGGTTTTGTTTAAAATATATAGTGTGTTCCTTTCTGAAGGCAGCTGCCCAACGAGTCAATGCCTTCAAAGGTTCCTCTCTTATTGGGCAGCATTTCAACCAGAAAGGAACCTTAGTAGGCATCGCATTTGGGACAGAGCTTCAGAGCCATCATACGACATAAGTTCATTGCGCTGTGCACGTTTTATCTGTTTTACTCGCAGCCGCTCACCTCCGCCTGTAAAGGTGGATAACCTCAGTGTAAAAAGACGAGTCTGAATCTGCGGCAGCTGTTTTCCTGCATTGACTCTGTTGTGAAGATCAGGCTGCTGTAAGGAGGTGTATCTGATGTTATAAACTCGACTCGTCTCCAGATAAATACAGATAATCGTGACTTAGACTTAATTCATTCAGTCCTCATCCACCTTAATGAACCTACTTTATTTCTAACACACAAAGGATGAAAACCGCTGGCCCACTAGCTAAGCTAACTAATGTTAGCTTCACCTGACGAGTTATAAACGCAGCCTGTCAGGTCGCCTTAGACAATTTCTAGAGATCTACAAACACAAATATGAAATACTTTACACCAATACAGCAATCAATCAAGACAGTAAAGACAGAAGTGAAGAAATAACTAACGTTTGTCGACTCCTAAGTCGGCAGATACGGCCGCTTCGCTCGCCATGTTTATCAGACTGTAGCGATGGAACTCTCGGCAGGTGAACAGTATTGTGGGATTGCCTTCGCTGAGAAGGATACACGCAATGCTGCCTTCAGATTTGGTCAAAATAAAGCACCTTAGAAGGCAGCTGCCTTGTGCTGCCTTCCGAATGGGACAGTCTTCGTCTCGGAGCCCAAATGCTGCCTTAGAATACTGCCTGCTTAGACAGCTGCTTCCCGATTGGAGCACACTAATAAACTACAGTTAAAACTTTACAAAGCTACATTCTGAGCGTTACAGCAGGGGACGCTGTAACAGCCAAGCCATTCAAGCTATCTCGTACCGCTAGCGTTTCTCACCTGCCACAGCAGACGAGCAGCAGACTCTCACACAGAGACGACTTACGGAATCATAAATCATAAGCCGGCCGCGCCGCAGACGCTCGGAGCCTGTGTTGAGTCTGTTTCCAGGTTCAGGTTTAATTAGTGGATAATCATTTAGCTGCAGGAAGAAAAAACCTTCGGCTGACAATAGTGTAGATCTGTAGGCTTACCTGATCAGGTAACAGCACTGACGTTGCGCAGACGCTCAGCTGTGAAGAGACGACACACTTCATTAGTCGCTTTTACACTTTTTTTGGTTTTTCACCTGGTTTTGTTTTTGGTTTCACCTCCGTCGAGGTTCCAGGTGAGCTGAGCTGATACCAAAAGGTGAAGTGAAAACTCTGCAGGCTGCTGATTGGACAGGGAGAATCACTAAACACACCTGCTAACGTTAGCTACCAGGTTAGTGTAGCCTCTTGCGTTTTTGAGGATCAGAACCGTCTCGTCGTCTGAACTCTGTAGTTTTACTGAAACTCTCCTGTTTTGTTCAGCAGTCTTTCTTGTCGCTGACATTAGGGTATTCTGAACAGCATGGTCTCATGGTATCGCTATGACGACCATCTACATTGAGAGGGCGCTATATCCGCAGTGTAAAACGAAGTAGCTGGTACCAAAAGAGTCGAGTAGAGTCCAGCCGTATCATGTGGTGGAAAAGTGGCTTTTCTTTCATTATTTAAAAACAGTCCAGGAAATCAGTCGATCTTAGTTTGTGAACTCTGAGCTCAATAGTTCCACAGTAATCACTGCAGTGTTTGTGTCAGAGTGAACAACACAGCTTTCACGGTTAAATCACTGAAATGTTCTCCTGTGATTGATCCTGCCGTCACCTTTTCACTGCTCTAGTTGAGTTTGGTCTGGTGGTGTTGAGCCGTACGTCTGGAAGCATTTGCACTCGTAATGTTTCTCTGCTCTTTTGTTCAGGTTTATTTTGTCACCCATCTGTATTAAAAATGAAGGTTTTAGGATGTTTTTTAAATTTAAACTGATTTTTATGAACATTGTTGTGAACTTTGTAACATGTCCATATTGTATGGCGTGAAGACACTACAGTAATGTAAGGTTCTGAGGGTGTTTAGTCTTGCGTGTGTGTGTGCGTGTGTGTGTGCGTGTGCGTGTGTGTGTGCGTGTGTGTGTGCGTGTGTGTGTGTGTGCGTGTGTGTGTGTGTAAATACAGTGTTGTGTACCCCGTCACACTCTCTCTCTGGTGTTTGCTCTGTAATTTCCAACCTTCTCCAGGTTGCAGTCAGAGCACGCCAAACATAAAGCAAATTCCCCTCCTGAAAGTAGAAGATCATATACTAAAGCTCCCAAAGCCCCGCCCACCTCAGCCGCTGGCTCCGCCCGTGGCCACACCTCCCGCAGGTACTCCGCTAGGCTCGCTGAGTGAGTGTGTGCGAGTGTGTGAATGAAGGATGTCCTGATCTGAGTTAAATATTGGGCGATACTGAATCTGATCTGATGTTTGTGTTGGTTCTGCTGCTCAGTGCGCGATAACAGCCTTCAGGTTCAAGTAAAAATCAGATCTAGATGTTTTCCCCACATGTAGATGCTCAGCCAGCTAACACTAGTCAATAACAAACAATAAGTTAGTAGGCATCCAAAACTTTTCTGTAAACACATCCCCAAAATTTCTCTCACCCACCTCTTCATTAAGGTGGTGCAAATTTATAGATGTACTTATTTATTTACTCAGTGAGTTTTATAAACATAAACTGTGTGGCTGAGACCGCTGACGCTTTCACAGGTGACAGATTCATCCACATCAAATGTACAGTTTTCCTCTTTAGCTCAATGTAGTGTGCAAATCATTGAGTGAGGGTGTTGGCGCAGTAGACCACGCGAGGACGGAGCGGTGGACGCAGACACATGCAGGTCTTGTCCTTCTAGAAGGCGAGTACCAGCCACACTTCCGCTGGTTGACGAGCCTCTACGTCAGAATCCGTTCCAGCAAAAGGTTAAATGGTTTACCTGTTTTGACGCTCGACGGAGCGACTTTTCACTGCGTACAGCCGCATTTCTAGTCTTAATGCCGTAAACGGCGCCGCGTCAGCCTCTAGTGCGTCGGCACTCTGATACGCTTCTCTGTGGCCAACATGAATGTGCAGCGCTGGAACTCCTCAGGGCAGATTTAGAGAAAATCTCCAGATTCTCAGACTGGGTCACGCTCAGTTCCACAGGGTGGATACAGAATCAGAACTGGATCAGGTTTAATGTGGCCGACACAGATCAGTTCAGAAATCACTCTGATTGATCTTCCGGGTGAAATCAGGACATCCTCAGAGTGGAAGACTCCTCCTCCTTCAGCGTATGACGGAGAGGAACAGTAGAGTGTGTTGGTTCTTTGCCTTGAGCGCTTTCACATACAGCTGTTAGCTCTGTGTTCAGGCGCGTTTTGAGCCGATCACTCTTGAGCCGTGTTCGTACCGTCCCCGTGCGGTTCTGCGTTAGCTCTGCTGTCTGCTCAGTGCTCAGAGTCCTGGGTGATGTGATACAGAGTGAGCTGGCAGTTTTGTTTAGAGTAACGAGCTTCCAGCAGGAAACGGGAAGCTGAGGAACATCGAGCTGCAGCTCCGCTCAGCTCAGGTTAAAGAAGCTTCAGTTTGAGCCAACTAGCAATCTACCAAAGTTAGTTAGCTGCAGCACGGGTGAGGCTGCTAACGTTAAAAAAATGATTAGAGGAAATAATCAGGTGTAGAAGAGCTCTGCTGTGCTCAGTTAGGCTTGATATTCTGGATATGATGGATAAGTAAATCGCTCTTTTGATGTGTGTTAGCTAATGTGATTAAGAATGTAGCTAATCTTAGTCGTCACCCTATGTATCTTAATGATAACGGGTTGGGGTTGGGTTTGGGGTTAGCACTACCTCACCAGTTTTTTATGCTTGCTAGCTTGGCTAATTTGGCTAACTTGGCTCCCAGAGTTAACTTGGTTAGTTAGTGGCTAACTGGGGGGTCGGGGCTGCAGCTGGATGCTAATGAACAGATTTGATATGTGAAAGCGCCATGTGAAACGTTTGGGTTTCCCTTGCTGTGGAACCCGTGTGCTGATGCGTGTGTCTGTCTCTCTCTGTGTACAGAAACAGTCTCTCTCTGTCCGTGGGAACCCACTCTGTGTCGGATCCAGATTCAGAAGCAGCAGGAAGTTCAGGCCAGCAGGAGCAGCGTGAAGGCAGCGGCGTTAGCATTAGCAGCATTAGCGTAAGTCGCTCTCTCAAACGAAGCTCCGCCTCCGAGCACAACAACACCGGCTCCTATTCTCCTAGTCCGGCCAAGCGGCCCAAAGCCCAGTCTGAGAGCTCCAGCGCCGGACCCTCGGACCCACCAGGAGCCCCCGAGCCCAAATCCAAGTCCAAGAAGCGGCGTTTAGCGCCAGAGCCGCCCCCCAGGGCCGTGAGCAGGAAGAGCAGCCCGGGCCCCGGGCCCAGCGGGGCCTCCAACGCCTCCTCGTCCTCACATAAACGCAAGAAAGCCGACGCTTCCTCCTCATCCTCTTCCTCTTCGTCCTCCTCTTCCTCTTCCTCGTCTCTCGGGGGCCTCCCGCCCCCCCGCAGTGAGGCCGGCCGGCCAGCGAAACCCTCCAAGCTGGCGTCCAAACCGGCCGCTTCAGCCAAAGCCGGGTGCAGCGCCGTCACAGACTCCTCCTCTTCCTCCGCCTCTTCCTCCTCTGCATCCTCTTCTTCCTCCTCCTCGGCGGCAGCGGGCGTCAACAGCTGCGCCCCACCACAGGTATGGATTCCGCCTCCTCGCATATTCATCTCTCTGCTTCTGTAAATTGTTGTTTTTTTGCGGTGCGGGGGTGGGTTTGTTATGGCAGTGCAGCAGCTTTGAAAAAGTTGTACTGTTTTATATCTGAGACTGTCCAGAGTAGAACAGAGTTCCTGTTCTGTAGAGCCAGAAACCTTAACCCGCACATTCAGTCTCAGGCTCCTTATCATAAACCCCCCCTGAAGGGGGTCTGGGGTTTATTGAAGGGCGCGTCGTCAAGGGGTTTAACCTTCCCTCCAATAAACCCCTTGACGACCTTCTCTCTGATAAACCGCTGACAGTGACCCCCTGATAAAACACTGATGATGCCCCTCTGTGCCCGCAGGGTGCCCGGCTGAAGCAGGGTAAGGACCAGAGTAAATCTCGCCGCTCGCGCTCCGCCTCCTCCCCCTCGCCCCGCAGAAGCAGTCGTGACAAGGAGCAGCCCAAAGCTGCCGGATCCTCCAAGTTCGAGTGGACGTCCCGCTTCAACCCCAAAGTCAACCTGCCAAAGCCCAGACTGTCCCTGCCCGGGTCATCCAAACCGGAGAGCTCGTCCAAGCCCGGACCGTCCGGACTGCAGGCCAAACTCGCAAGTGAGTCACTCAGCATTGTGTGTGTGTGTGTGTGTGTGTGTGTGTGTGTGTGTGTGTGTGTATGTGTGTGTATGTGTGTGTGTGTGTGTGTGTGTGTGTGTGTATGTGTGTGTATGTGTGTGTGTGTGTGTGTGTGTGTGTGTGTGTGTGTGTGTGTGTGTGTGTGTGGGGCGAGGGGGGATTCGACTCTTCACAGTGAGAACTCAGTGAAGACGTTAATGACAGTGTTCACTAAAGGCAGCGAGGAATGCTTTTTGATTAAGAAACACAGGACCGCCTATCAGAACATGTCTCGTTTACATATGTCAGTCTTATAGGCAGAGTGACGGATGTTCAGAGGGATGTTGACTGGACTCAGTGGAGCTCAGGGCAAAACTCGGGTTAGAGAGTATGGCATTCAGGTTATCTGGGTAACTGGGGTCCTGCTTGGTTTTGGTGCGTGTTTTGGCTGGTGTGTGTGTGTGTGTGTCTGCTGATGCTGGATGAGGTTGGTGGTGTTTGTTCTTTACGGGTTTTCAGTGGTTCTCACCCCAGAGTCAGCACCTTTTGGTATGTGGAGGCGTTTGTTTTGGAGGAAGAGCTCTGTGTGTGTGTGTGTGTGTGTGTGTGTTATCTCACACTGTGGTGCAGCGTCTGAGATTAAATATCTCTCTCACACACACACACACACACACACACACACACACCCCTGTTAGTGCTACTGCAGATTAAATTAACTGTAAACGCTTAAACACTTTTGTTGAATGTTTGTTTTTATTATTTACCTCAACATTTGTTACTAAAACTTAAGGTGATGTTGCTCCGGATGGGGTGGACTGTTCCTTCTGCCCGGTGCTCCTGACCACAGTTCACATTTTGGGCCCTTAAAAATTCAGAGCTTTAGGTCTAAGTGGAGATTTGTTATTGTCTCTTTTACTCATTTGATAAATCTTCTCCATTGATAATATAAATGTCTTCTCTCACTCCCAGGCATGTCCTGAGGCCGTGTGGTTGAACGTGGTGCTGACGGCGTCTGATCAGGAGTCGGAATTTGTCAGCTTTACTGTTAATGTTACTCATGCTAAAGCGAGTTTGACTGTAAGTGACACGTTCTGTCTGAAACTCTTTCTAGAAACGTTTCCTCTCGGCCTGCCGTGCTGGCGGTGACAGTAAACTGACTAACAGTAAAAAAATAAATAAATAAATCAAAGGACGGCAACTAAGAAAGGAGGAGAGAGAGAGAAAGTTGAGTTGGGCAGAAGAGAGTCCGGGTGGCTGGAGTGGCTTTGAGAAGGATGTGATTTTCTGAAGTTTCTGGTTTGTTCTTTAGTTTAACCTGCTGTGTGAAATGCGGCTCACAGACACACAGCTGCAGGTTTCAGTACGAGCTCAGACTCAGCGCGCGGATCTTTAGAGGTCCTAATGATGAAGCCGCAGGGCGGATTGATCAGAGCCTGATGAAGGTGGAGGGCCTGAGTGGTCAGAGCCTGATGAAGGTGGAGGGCCTGAGTGGTCAGAGCCTGATGAAGGTGGAGGGCCTGAGTGGTCAGAGCCTGATGAAGGTGGAGGGACTGATTGGACAGAGCCTGATGGAGGTGGAGGGACTGATTGGACAGAGCCTGATGAAGGTGGAGGGACTGAGTGACCAGAGCCTGATGGAGGTGGAGGGACTGAGTGACCAGAGCCTGATGGAGGTGGAGGGACTGAGTGACCAGAGCCTGATGGAGGTGGAGGGACTGAGTGACCAGAGCCTGATGGAGGTGGAGGGACTGAGTGACCAGAGCCTGATGAAGGTGGAGGGACTGAGTGACCAGAGTCTGATGAAGGTGGAGGGACTGAGTGATCAGAGCCTGATGAAGGTGGAGGGACTGAGTGATCAGAGTCTGATGAAGGTGGAGGGACTGAGTGATCAGAGCCTGATGAAGGTGGAGGGACTGAGTGATCAGAGCCTGATGAAGGTGGAGGGACTGAGTGATCAGAGTCTGATGAAGGTGGAGGGACTGAGTGATCAGAGTCTGATGAAGGTGGAGGGACTGAGTGATCAGAGCCTGATGAAGGTGGAGGGACTGCTGGATAAAATGATATTCAGTCAGGCCGACTGTCATTTATGAAAGGAAGATCTCTGGTTTGGTTGGTGCATTTGTTTCTGTTATTCTGGCCACAAGAGTCATTGTGTTGGTGTCCTGAGTGGTCAGTGCCTGTCTTTGAGTACCTGTGCTTCTCAGCACTAACAGGTGTCTATAGGTGCGGTTCAGTCGGGGGTGCAGAGGAGTTCACTTCATAACACAAAGGCAGCAGCTCAGGTAGTAGTTACAGGAGAACTTCACAGATTTTTCTGAATTCCAGCCTTGTTAAGTGGTGTCTCTGTTCTAGAGAAACTTACCGAGTCAGAACTGTTCACAGTGGTGGTGATAGGAACCAGACGTCCACCTCTAAAATCTCCCTCACAGAAAGTTCCTACATGAAATGGTTATGAATTCACTGCCTGATGACTGAGACACTGTTTTATGATAGTTTAGAGAACTTTTTGGTCCTAAAGCAACATTCTGTAATATTTTTACATTAAAATGACAACTTCAGAATAATTTTGATGCTACTGTGATGCTGCTCCGGGCTGAGCGCTGTGAGGCAAAATAGCCCCCAAAATAAAGAAATTATTTCCAGAATTTTCTATCATAGACATTCTGTATGAACTCAGAAGACTCGTGTAGGTTCACTGGTGGTTCTGGATAGTAAATAAAATGTCTATATTTGTGTTGTAGTCATGGCGACCCCTGGTTCCTATCACCACCACTGTAAAGACATCTGAACCATTTCACACCAAACCACTCTGAATCTCTCTGTTTACATCTTACACACTGAGTTATGGGGGAGTTTTGGTGGAATTTCCCTTTAAATGAGGACACAGTGTAAGTATGTGAGACTGAGTGCCTGTGAAATACAGAACAGAACGTTTAGACACTTTTCACAGATCACATGCAGCTCTGCGACGTCGTCCAGGTCACATGTAGTCGTCCTACATCATGAATTGATTGTGACGAACACAGAGTGATCAGGTCTCATAAATGTAACACGTCCTGATGGAGAACTGCGCTAATCCCCCTCAGTAAGCATTAATGAATGAGGTCTGGAGTTCTGCTCACTGTGGTGGGTCGGGGGGGTGCAGTCTGACCGTGACGGGGAACCGGCTCAGGTTTCACCCGCGCTGTGCCAGCGTACCGCGCTAAAAATACCCGCTCTCCACTAACGCTTCAGCAGCTAATGGCTCAACTCTGTCGGCGGAAGAAGGACGCTTTTACTGTGGATTCACTGACAGACAGGTGGGTAAAGATTAGAATCAGAACCTCAGCTGGGTCAGAACATACATGCAAAGACTTCTGGGAAATGGAGTCTGTTTGAGTGCTGTTTGGACTCCAAAACTGTAAATGAGCTCTTTCAGTTTGAGAGTGGCGGAGGTGAACTTTACAAGGCCTGTGTGTGTGTGTGTGTGTGTGTGTGTGTGTGTGTGTGTGTGTGGTACAGAGGACTGATCAGGTTCTACAGTGGAGCTTTGTGTGTGTGAAATATAAATGGGAGATAAAATACTAATTATCAGAATACATTTTTTGTGTTTGAGGTGTTTTTCTGTTCCTCGGTTCAGCTTTTTGCTACTTCAGTACTCTAGGTGGCGCTGTGTGGTTAATCCAGTTTCCAGTCCAGGAGCCGTATTACAGAAACTTTTTTTTTCCCCTCAGTCTCCATTTCCCAAACGCTTTAGCCGAGCGCGCTAACGTTACTCCTCCTAATAAACAGACACACGTTCAGCTCCGCCTCCTCATTATTCACCACCATCACTGTAATATTTCATCATCAACATTAACACACGAAGGTGATCAGAGGGGCGGTGGAGATCGAGTCTGCAGCGTCTGAGATCTTTAAAACGCAGAGTTAGAAAAGAAAATCATCTCACAGTGAAAGCAGCGTTTTACAGTAGAGATAAATGGAGCTCATTATGCTGGTAGTGAACTATGCTGCTGACTCAGCTGCCTAAAAACCATAGAAACGGACCTTAAACAGAAGTGAGGACCCTGTTGGGGTTCATCCTAAAGTCCAGACCCTGAAACTGGGAGGGAGAAGTCTAGCCTTTCACTCAGAACAGCGTGTTCCAGCAGGACAGTTAGCATAACTAGCTTGTGTTAACTGTTTTCAATGCTGAAATCAGGAAGGAAGTTAGCAGAGTTAGCTAGCATTAGCTGTTTTCAGTGATGATAGAATATAAAGGGATCGAGATCTGAGGAGAATGTCTGAGAGTGAGAGGAGAGTGGAGTGAACAGCTCCTGCAGGCTGTTTTGTTAAATCTGACTTTGGTGACTTTGTTCTTGTGAGAAACTGTCTTCATAATTTTAGGTTTAGGTCCTAAAATTAAACAGAAGGAAGTGTTTTAAACCGTTATTGATGAATCAGTAATGAATGAGAAGCGTATAGTCGATCTTTGTGTGCATTGCTCAGCTGTGGTGTGAGCTGGTGTGGCAGAATTGGTTCAGGTTGGTCGAGGGGGGTTGGAGTCGGGGGGAGGGGGGTGTCAGAGGGCACGGTGCCAGTGGGACAGAGCTGTACCCGGAATAGAGCCTGAACCTGCCACTGGGGCAGCGAGAGGCTCAGAGCTGGAAACAGGGATTCACCACATTACACAGAAACACAGGCGGCTCCGTTACGGCAGACTCAGCCCGGATTGGCTGAAGAGCTGTTTATGATCCATAATCCTGAGCTTAACCGGCCCTGGAGCAAATTAGAATAAATTCCCGTTTTATTTTTATTTTAGCTTTATTGAAGCAGGGCGAGTCCTGGACGAGAGAGCAGCTCACAGAACTCTTAACAAAGAAACACCAGCAAACCAACAAAATCATATCACAGTCAAAACCAAATTAGAAATAAGAGCTGAATGATCTAATTCTTTAACAGTGATCTTGAAGTCTGTGGTGGTGTATCCTGTTAGTGAGTCACTGTTGTAGAGTCCAGAGTTCTGCACGTTTCTGGTTATTAAAGCGTAATAGTACCACAGTCACCAACAGCTTCCTTTCTGTAATCATGCATGAAAGCAATATTTGTGGATTGAGTTATTGTGTAGAAAATGCTCTATTCTATAAAACACTCATTGTTTTTTAATGTTTATTTTTTTTCTTTCACAATAAATACACATGGTTTCACTCATTTGGGGAAATACTTTTTAGAGTTCTTCAGAATTTAGTGCTAAATGTATTAAATCGTTAAATTGGTTGATCAGTGACAGATTCTGTAGATCGATCTGTATTTGTCTTGCTCTCTCAGCGGTAACTGAGGACCAGACAGTGCAGTAACAGCTTCTTACAGCAGCAGACAGTCAGAGATCTGAGAGTCTCGGCTGATCTGGCTGAAAATGCAGGTCCGGATTATTGACTCTTCCGTTGGAGGCTGTGGGGACAGTTTGGTGCTGATTCAGAGGTCGAGCCGTAGTGTTCAGAGCTTTGGAGGAGGAGTTTCAGCGTCTTTTTCTGTAGAATTCAGATCAAACTCAGGCATTCGGACGCCCGTCTCACACACGGCCTGTGGAGCCATCGAGAGTTATTCATCGGCAGGTCTGTCTGTTCGTGACGCTGCAGCTCTTTATGGAGTGAAAGAGCAGTTTAATCAGCTCTTCTCCTTCTGGACTTGATTGCTAAGCCTGAACGTAAAAAACACGCCCCCTAATCATCATATGAACGACGAAATATAGAAATAAATTAAATCGTGAACAAATAAATAAATAAATGAATTGATGAAAAAATAAATAAATGAATACATGATTCAAAGAATAAAGCGAACAATTGTTAAATATAGATATGGAAAATATATAAAAATGGCATTAATAAAACAAAATAAATAATACAGAAATAAATAAATTGAGAAATATATATCTGCAGAAAAAGGAAGTGTGTATAATTACAATCACAATAAGCAATATACTTTATTTAGTTTTTTTATTTATTGATTGATTTATTAAACCATTTATTTTTTAATTTTATTTATTTTTCGTTTTGGCAAATCTGGTCATCCGTAGTGGTTGGCGTTCAGAGTTAAACATGCTTGTTTATCCAAACTCCTTAAATGAGTCTGACTTCACTGACCTCATTCCACTGTTTCCTGTCTGATGTGTTTTGGGAGGCGTTTGTATCTGAGAGTTAAGCTAAAATCCTCCGCTGCGTTTAAACTGCTGTTTATATATCAGTTACGCCACACAGTGACTCACAGTAGAGCTGCATGATATCTTGTTTGAGTTATTGTGGTAATTGATTGTTTACTGGGTGTACTTGCGTATCGTTGCCATTGGAATGAATCCGTGTCTTAAAATTCACGTTTCAGGTGAATGCTAATGCTAACTTTTAAAAGAAGATAATAGGGTGATTTTGGATTATTTCTGTTGGTCCATTCTTCATGAAATGTGTAAAGCACAGACGGACTTTCCAACAAAAATAAAAAATCTGGTCTAACACTGATGAATATGGAATCTGATTTTGTGAAGTTGGTGCTTTCAGAAGTGGTCAGTATACAACACCAGTAAGCAGATAAATAGAGTACACAGCTGAAGGTTGTGGTAAATTAGTCCTAAGTGAAGTGTTAACAAAGCGTAGAGGTTTTTGTAGCTGTATAGATCAGTTGGACTGTAGCAACTGTAAACGTTAACAG